GAAAAAAAATGATGACTAGCTTTTTCTTTACCTTTGCTCTGTGATAACAAGTAATAATGAATTGTGTAGAAAACGAGCTGACAAATTGGTGAATGATCAAATCACACATCATAGTGAAATGCTTGATGGATTTTTTTTATGTTCAGATAAATTCAGTATTTTAGTCTCAGTTATTTAAGCTGAAAGCGCAAATTTTTTTTTTGGAATACGCGAGGGGCGCATCTTTGTATTAAGAAGGAATAAAAGTATTTACAGAGAAAGCGCAAATTTTTGTTTTCTTTTTGAATATTTTTCTCTACAGCCTTGCAGTTGACAGAGATATTTCTTATTAGTATTTTTGTCCAGGAAGAGAAATAAATATACATCAGACGACCCCAGATATTTCATTGTAATAAACAAAGTGTAGATGAGATGGGTTAAATAATTAAGTGCCCTACCTGAATACTTGAACAAATCATTGAACTAAATATACAGTAAGATGCCCTTTTGCTTGCCTGTGCCATGCTTTGGATGACATGAGGAATAGTTGTTATGCTACTCAGGATAAAGGAATACATCTTTTAATAAACCACCCACTTATCTTAGCTTAGATTCCACATTCTTGAAGAAACCAAAGTACCCAAATGTCATGTCTTTAGCCAACCACATGTTCTTTCAGGATTGCAGCAGCGGCAGCTGTTGATGCAGTCAAAATATGATTCCACTGACTAAAAAGGCTCCAATCCTTTTCTACCCTATCTTGATGACCTTTTTAGGGCCCATTTGATTTGTAGGATAAATGTAGGAATTTTAGAGGATTTCAATCCTATGGAAAAAAATCCTATGAAGGCCTTTGAGACAAAGGATTGAATCCTATCCAATCCTTTAAAATTCCTATGGAATGGGTAATCCTATGCACATTTTGGAGGAAAGTTAGCAAGAGGTCTAACCTCTTGGAACATTTCCTCTGAGTCTATCTCTCTCATCTGATTCCTGCGTTTTTCCTGTGGTCCAATCAAACGGCCATTCCTGTGTTTTTCCTGTGTTTTGCAATCCTCTGTTTTACAATTGTATTCCTGTCAGAATCCTGTGTTTTTTCTATTCCTCTGTTTTTTCATTCCTACGATTCAAAGGGGCCCTTATTTTGCTTACTGAAGAGAAGCTACTACCTTTCTGTTCTTGGTAGAGAATCCTTTTCAGCATTTCTGGGTGCTCAACATCTGGGCAGGAGAAGGTTTTGGAGTTGAGATTGTATTTTCCATATCAGGAACAGATCTGACTTTGTCCAGTTGTATGATGTACTAGATGTGAAAAAAAAAAGCAATAACAAATCTTTGGATCTAGATGTGACAATTACTTTATTTGTTTAAGTTATCTGGCTATAGCATTTCTATTGGGTTGTTCAGTTGCCTGTCTGACCAAATGGCGCATTGCCACTGGACCTAAGAGGGAAAAACGGCCAAGATAAACAAAAGAAAACAAGCTTTGCTTAAACAAATGTGATGGTGCTAGGAAAGAGCAGAACAATGTTATGTGATAATTGTTCAAAAAAATGTACCTACATGGGCTCAACAATACAGTTTTCAGGACAATGGCATGTTCACCATTGACAATCCAAGTCAATTTGAGCTGCAGAAGTATTATGGATTTTATGATACCTAAGGAAACTTTGCCTCTAAAAAGAATGAAAAAACATAATAAATTGCGCCGTATTGCTGAATAGGAATGGTATGAAGGAGTGTCATGTAGGACACTATAACTATGCATGTATTCTTGACTTTAAAGGCTTTATTCTTATCAACAGTTTGCTGCCCATGGAAGATCAATTAAGCAATGCTGAAACTTATACAACTTTGTTTTTTTTTTTCATGCAACTGTCTTCTATTTCTATACATTGGAACCTGGATCATCAATATATACCTCCATCACCATGTCAATGAAAGATGACATGGTATGGAATGGAAATAAATGTCAACCAAAATCTAAGCATATTTCACAAAAAAAAGGGGGGGGGGGGGCAAATGTAGAGGCTAGATTCAATTCCATTATTTTTTTAAAAAAAGAAAAGTACTCTAAGCAAGCATTGCACGGCCACGTGTAAGTACTGTCATAAATCACTAATCCTTTTCGGTTAATTTGGTGTTGACAAAGCTAAACATGCGTGTAAATATGAGCAAAACATAGAAATTGTGCACACACGTTGCTGCGTGAGACCAAGTCACCAATCTACTTTGTGATCGAATCTAGATATAATCTGCGTCGAATATGCCTAATTGTGACACAAATTGGAAGTTATTCAGGCCCAACAACCAATCAACCATTTGTGTGCTCCAATCAGCTCGCTGCCATCACCCGGTACCATGTGATTTGAGAGGCAAATTGGGGTTTCTGACTTTCCTCCATCTGATGGCTCATGACTGGGCTGAGAGACAACAGGTAATGAGGTAAACTGTGTGGAGTACTAGCTAGACTACTAGTAGTAGCATCCACTAGGGCATTGGGAAGTCGCACACCTAAATATTCCATCAACTTCCAGGCTCCAGCAACTAACAACTTAAAAAAATAGGGACCAAATTGACAATTTTTTTTTTTGACAGGGTACATGAGGAACACAACCCCTCCCTTCCGTCCATATACACCACTACGCACACACGCATGCGTGTTTCTTATTCACACGTTAAGGATGAGAGGATAGCCGTAGGCCTCTCATCGAAACGTATTCTAGGTATCCTTTTTATGATTAAATTTTATAAAACTACATATACTTTACATCAACTATCGAACAAATACAATGTAAGTTATCGTAAACTACAAATTTAATAATGAAATAATGAAGTTATCACAAATTTACGTATTTTAGAGGTTGAATTCCTATAACTATTATTATGCTCAAGTTAAAATGTTACAGTTTTAGGATTAAATAGACATCAAACACGTATCGTGATAACTTTATTACTAATTTTTTATTTGTTTGGATATATTATAAATATGTAGCTCTGTAATAAATTTAATGCTAAATATGTACTAGTTTGATGATACATCTTTTTGACTATGTAGTTTTGCAATAGTTTCATCACAGTATTTATACTTTTAAAATTACTCTTTTCATATTGACATAAGCTACCCTGTTTTCGTGACGAGTTTAAGTACGTCTCTTCGGTGCTAGTGTCACATTGCATGCCCTGGTTAGCCACGTCAACAATAGGTCAGTCCTTACGTTGGATGGCATCAACCAACCAACGAAGGGGCACTGCTAGCTGCTGAGTGCGGAAGAAGAACAAGTCAGCAAAATCAGGATTATCAAATGGTTGCTAATCATGCGAGATTTACACTGATTGATCCAGGTCAAAATGTGTGCTATTATTGATGATGGAAAAAGAATGGCTCACAACGCTCATTTTACTAGTGGGGAGCAAAAAGGCCTTGGAAAGAGGAGCCCATGCTTAGTTAGAGGAGAGCTCTGTGCATTAGTGAGCTGCGAATCACCAAAGGGAAAACCTATGGTCCATGGCCACACTAATATGACTCACACACCATGATCTATAGTCAGCTCCATTGCAAAACTTTATTACCAGCAGTGCAGCTTTCTAGATAAAATTTAGCTCGTCATGGATTTGGTCTTTTAGTCATAAGTTGTTGTGTGCCACGCCTTCGTCCAGCGTCAACGACTCACAGCTGAGGGTTACTTTGAAATGCAGAAATCCAAAAACATAGAACAAGAAAAACGTAGAAATCAAGGTAGCATGTCTAGTTGAATCTTTTGGGATTATAGTTCATAGGAACTGTTGAAATTTATTGTTTTGAGGAAAAAGTTGAAATTCTCCCGTCTAAACTTTAGATGGAAGTCCGTCTAACACCATAAACTTTAAATCCGGACATCCAACCTCCTGAACTTTGCCATACCATCCATGTTATCCTCAAAGATGGTTTTTGCATATTTTAAAAGCTTAAATGAGCAACTTTGAATAACTAATCTAATATATTTGCATATCATCAGTTGTAAGTTATCAATTTATTCTTATATAGTGATGTTATACTATTATTATATTGGTACTTGTTTGTAATTGAGAGCTAACAAAGAGTAAAAACAAATATTTAAATCGAAATTTTTATATATATGTCCAATGTGAATGTCATGTGATCAAACTCATCTAACTTATACACAAATTAGATAAAAACCACTATGCAAAAAACACCTTAGGTGGTTATATAAACGGTACTGTAAAGTTTAGGGGGTTTAATGTCCGGTTTCAAAGTTTAGAATGCTAAACGGACTTCCATCGAGAGTTTAGGGGGGTTATTTGGACTTTCTCCTTGTTTGGATGCTCAATAGGAATTGTAGGATCTTGGGACAGATTGACACGTTTTCCATGAGGTCTAACCTCATGTTAGAAATTCTTTAAAATTCCCATAAATTAAGCAAGTTTTGTAGGAATATGAAATTCCCATAAAATTCCCATAAATTAAGCAAGTTTTAAAATTCCCATAAAGGAGCCATCGCTTCTCAATGACTTATCTGCTAACCAAAAATTGCGACTTGATTTGGCCCCACAAACTTCTCATCCAAAGCATATGATAAGCAACCAAAGCATGCCAAATCCTGGTAGATCACTCAAGTTGCATATAGGCAGCTTATTGGATGACAGTGTAACAGCAACATCAGCAACAGAAGCAGCATAAAAAGGATATCACAAAAAAGGAGGATCATCGTCTCTTGATTATCAGGAAGAGCGGTAAGTGGGGTGGGTGGTAACGGATCGTCACGTTACAGAATTTTGCTACCTTGGCAAGGGGGAATGAATGGCAATGGCTGCGTAGCCATGGTGCTCCAATTCGACGGTTGCAAATGCAAAGCGAAACGCACCTGGCATTCCCGGCAGCCGCTGGTCCAGGCATCAGATGGTGCAAACGGATCAAAGGATTCGCTTCTGTGGGAAAAGAAAACAAAGCAAGACTAGCATTTTCACAAGTAATGGCAACTGCTTCCCAATTGACACAACTAATCTAAAACGGAAACAGAAGAAAAGATGACAAAACTATCCAATGTTTAAATTAGTAACGCGAACGAGTATATTCTCGGTAAGATCTCGGATGCTTTGAATTACAATTAGAGGAACGATTAGGAAAGCAAACAAAACTGGAATACACGAGAAGGCAAACAGCACCTGCTGTTGATAGCGCAGCAGCCCCTCTCCTGTGCTTTGGATAACATTTTCTTCGTCAAATCACCTTGTGCCCTTCCCTTTCATTTTTCCCTTCCCTTTACCAAATCCATTTGCATTTCCTTTGCCTTTCCCCCGTCCCTTTCCATTGCCATCCGGTCTCCTGTTCTTTCCATTGCCATCCGGTCTCCTGTTCTTCTGGAATTTGCCATCTTTCAAGGGTCCATCGTGCCTCCTGTTGTTCTTCTGGAATTTCTGGAATTTACTCTCTTTTGTGGATCTGTTCTTCATGCGGGCAATATCCATTGCTTTTTGCTGCCTGCTCTTCTGTATTTGTTCGGGATTTCTAATCTCAGACGGTACGTCGGCGTTCGGTATATAGCGACGCCCCCGTCCCACTGCAGTGTGTTTTCTGTTTCCTCTTTGATGGCTACCTGCAAAGTGTCATGGCATGAGGCAGCGTTAGAGGCTTAGAGCTGTTACGGCACAAAACAGAACAGGAGAAAGCCATGCTGACAAAATTTCATGAAAGATACAAGCAAGCAGACAATAATTGCAAAAGGCAGCTAAAAGTTCATGTGAAGCAATGTTTTCCCCATTCAAATGTTTGTGGTTCCAGATAATTTTCCTGTCAATTCTGGTCAACTCATCACCAGGGTTCTCCTTATTTTTGTACACTAAGTTTCAACCATTGCCTCAAAATAATGCAAGTCCAACCATTTGTGACAGGTGCACCACTAAACTAACCAGGAATGGAACAGGTGCAAGGACCACTGCACCAAAAAAAACATTGCAAATCAACTAAAGATTGGCTAAACATATTACTCGACCCTATTAATAAAAAAAATGGTTTACCCAGCCATCTCTCCCAAGCTTTCGCAATCCCATAGAATCCCCCAATGTTTCATCAATGAGAAAATAAATCAGCTATCACTTGCAATCAAAATTAAACTACACATGTATGATGCAAAAAGGATGCAGACAACGATGGCAACTATGACCTATGGGTAAATTATGCCATGGTAGGCTGGTGTGAACCAGTAGCTTTAGCTCTACCTACTTAGTGCTCCAAACAAAAGTTATGGCTTGACGCTGAGTTTATATAATTTTGGAATTTGGATGAACAGGCAAGTGAGCATATATTAGATCATCGCAGAACTATCTGTAATTCATAAACCCCACAAAAAGGAAGTCAATTAAAAATAAGCTCGCCATATGAGAAATTATGAGTGGAATCTTGGGAAGTTGACATGTTATAGCACCCACTAGATGGCGATTCTGATGATCTTTATGAACCAATTCTGGTCAATACCCCTTCTATATTAAATGGGCTGATAAAAATTACAATAAAATTCAAAACAGTTGACCAAAAAAGAAGGCATTGCGATCATGTGATGTACAAAAAGAGGATATATAAAGCATTACCTGTCGTGGATGCACCCTCTTCTGCAAAGCCACCAAATTTTCTACCAGTATCGATAGATCTATGTGTCTTCTGTTGCCATTTCTTGTATATCCCTGTTTTTGTTGGCTTTAACTTCGCACCACTTTCTGTCTTAATCTATAAGGAAAGTTGGCAGATTTTACACATGAGAAATTCCATTATTATGTATTCAGTGACATAGAGGCAAAACATGAACTATAAACAGAAACTCTCAATGTGACGCAGATAAGCAATGTGGAAAAATCATCTCAATCACAAAAACAAAAGGTAAAAAAATGACCTGCCAACCAGTTTTGTGGATTATGGAAAAAAAATATCAATAGATCCTACGCATGGGAAAGAGCATCATACATATTCCCGTATGGAAAGGGCAAACTACACATTGACTAGTGACCACTAAATATTGGGAGAACTCCTTATTCCCCGTGCAAAATTACTCAGTTTCCTTGTATTCCACCGAAATATCTGATTTCTTCTTAGTCCATTGATGATATTTACATGCTTTCTCATTCAACTCCTGTAATCCTAGCAGGCTAGCACGAATGAGTTGTTGCCAAGTGCCCATGATTGTCATCTGCTTCAGTTGACACCCTTGCAATCACTCCTTTGGCTCTATCGATCCTGGCCTTTTTTTTTGTGGCCAGCATGAGGAGCAGGCCATGGATCAAGGCACACCAATGAAAGAACTCCACTAAGGATGTGTTCAGTAGGCCCAACTCTCCCTCCAAACACGTAAAACGAGGTGGTTCATTAGCACATGATTAATTAAGTATTAGCTATTTTTTTCCCTGAAAAATGGATTAATATGATTTTTTAAAGCAACTTTCATATAGAAATTTTTAGCAAAAAACGCACCGTTTAGCAGTTTAGGAAGCATGCGCGCGGAAAACGAAGGAGGTGTAGTTGGGAACAAGAGCTGCTGAACACAGCCTAAGGCCACAACCGCACCACTCAACTTGCAATGTCTTCATAGATGTGTCTGCATTCGCCTCGATGTGTGTGTACAGTTCATGAATTGTACTAAAGGATAGGTGTTTGCCTGAGTTCGTACTTCATAATCTGGTTCCTAGTTTAATCATGTTACTGTTGCTCTAATCCTTGGTGGGAATTTAAGAAACAGTGATGGTACAGATCATGAAAGGCAAAGGTGGTGGTCAGGAGGAAAAGGGCAACTCCACAGTTTCAGGCTATACTTAACAGGATGCTAACAGAATGCGTATGGGAGGCATAAAAAGGATGGGGAAAGTTCTTAGAGGCATAGAAGGAAATTGCTAACTTTGCATGGCAAATAAGGAACTCTTCTCCTAAATATCGTAGAAGATGCAGAAACATTATCTCTAAGTCTCCAGCAGTAAAACTAACAAATTCAAACTTCCCCACTTATTCTTTATGCTTTTTCTTTACTGAAATCGAATCCATGATGATAATTAATCTCAGAGAAATGGAAGTAGCCATGATTAGCATATTGTGAAGACATATTTACCAGAGCCATGAGTACCATCTTTTATATCACAACAATCCATCAAATCAGTTCTTAGATAACACTATCCAAATGCACTCATATGCGGTACAAGAGGAGAATCATGCTGGGAGTTATCGCATATAGTAGTTAACACAATTGATGTTAGAATAAATTATAGGTTCCAATGGAACCCCTATGTTCTAAAATTCCATTACCGATTTTTTACTAACATATCAGTTCTGCATAGTTTCAGATGGAGAGAATATCAATCAATGCATCCACACAACTACAAGTATATTTTAAGAATGCAGAAACTATTTCCAACAGTTCAGTTATTTCCAGTTCAATTTGATACAGCACAAGAATTCCAGGGTATTTATGACTAGCGAAACAATTGTAAAGTCCATACCACATTAGAAGGAAACAGAATATTTAAATCAAAATAAAGCAATTCAATTCACTCTAGAGATGCCAATCAACATGTTTACAAGTCCAGCAATCCAAAACACGATTATTAACGCAACCAACACTTACCTTTCCTGTGGCAGTGACACGATCCCCACTATTTAACTTGACAAACTTGTTCTGCAATAATAAAATAAGCACCATGACTATGTGTGAACTGCATGCCACCAAATTTAATGTCACTATCAATAGTCATACCTTTTTCCAGTGATATCGAGTTTTCTGTGCTTGCATACCAGAAGTTTCATCATCAACTAGATCAAGAACAGCAGCATCCAATCTGCATGATAGCACTAAGCTTTTACTTAAGGCACAAAACAACGAGGCCGCAGGTTCATTTCACAAATAATAAAAACATAGTTTGGACAAAAGTACTGTGCATCCAAATTATTAGCCTTAATTCTTAGAGTTGAAGACAGCAGATCCTACAGGGAGTTCTATGTACTTTTGGTTTAATCATGCAAATATTTAATATGTTGTAGGGGGATATTTGATATTAAAGCAGCAAATGCCAAGACGCTATAACAAAATACAATTCAACATAGCATGATATCCGAGTCGGCCAGGCAAGGGAAGAAAAAAATGGTTGGACAGGTAGGTCATACTGCCAGGAAAGGTATGCTTTCTTTCCTACTAATTCAAACATTTTACTACTGCTTACAGAGACAAAAACTGACACGAATCTTTGAAGAAAGTATACCAAAATATTGAGATGAAAAAAGCAAGCATAAATAAACCAGAAAGAGGTAAGAAACAAGCTGGCTCAAAGCTACCGTCCTAGCTCCAATAAATTTTCCCAGTACCAAACTTTTATCCCTGATATAAACAGCATAATTTTTCCCAGTAGGTGTACAATTTATTTGCTATGCTGATTGAAATTTGTCAATAGAAAAGCTCACTTAGACTCAAAACTGAAGGTCATAATCATATATCAACAAGTGCATACCTATTTTCAACAAATCCTTCGTTGGCCCTCACTGACAGTCCAGCTTCCAAATGCTAGAGTAAAAAAATTAATGAGGAAGAAAAGCTACATCAGGCAGCTGTTAAATAAGAAATAAAGAAATTCGAGTATTTATAAGCCCGCACATATTTTGTAGCAGGGATTCTTTATGCTGGGTTTAGGAGGCATACTTGGTTTTGAGGCACTGAACTTATGTAGTATTCCTCATCTCTAAAGCTCTGTAACTTCCGCTTATTACCACAAACATCTGAAATGGATATGTAATACAAAAAATTATAATCACAGTGATAATGGTGCGACTTCTACAGGAATACTGTCAGTGAGCAAGAAACTTCAAGAAGCCCTTTTAAGTTAAACAGCATAACAGAGGTATTGCTTGCACAATGACAATCAAAGGGAGAAAATAATTTAGGACCTTTTCTCTCCCAGTTTGAAATATTCTCTACCAATTCTTCCTGCATAAGTAAAATCACAAAATCAGTATTCAAAGAATAAGAAAAAAAAAGGCATCACATTAAATGTAGCACAGGCAAAATAGGAAAAAAGTATATTTGTGTTCATATTAGCAAGTCATGTTTTTCCATTTACATTCTAAAATCTAACAAGCGATTAATCTGAAAAACAGAAGATTCTGTTTGCCCTCCCCATCACTGTAGGGCAGTTGAACACATAAACAGTCATACAAGGTTGCAAATATCATTAGGTGGGCAGCTGAATGAGTATGAGAAACTAACAAACAGCAGAAGGATCAATTGCTAACAATCACTACCATGCATGGTTGATCTACATCTGCGATGTTACATACTTTCATGTAACAATGTTTACAAACATATATTGCTAAACAAACATCAGCCACACATGCATAGATATAATACAGAAGTACAATATCACATCTGAAAAAAGTTGGAGTAGTAAACAACTCAAGCTAATGAGCATCCCAATAGAAGCATCCCAAGTTCCCAACAAACAGAATTAGCTGTTTACTGATCATTACTGGCTCCCAAGGTAGGTAGAAGTAAACATCAGATGTGAGTAGATAACATCACAAGGCCGTCATATATACAAAATAGTATGTGTGGGAAATATTCTGCAGTTTGTAACATGCATGGTAAATTCTATCAGTCAGCTTTGTTAGAAATACAATCTCCACTTGCTCTATTTTGTAGTGATCGTATTTACTAGAATAACTAGACGATACCCCACGTGTTGCTGTGGGATGACTATGTACAGATAAATGGCTTTAAAAAGATATGCAAGCTAAGGAAAAAGAAAAGATGAACAAAATAAAATTAAAGGACTTAAACTCTTCAGTTGCATGGCCGAGGAGATCAACAGTCTTCCAACTAAAACATAGAGCTGTATGAATGTACCACAATTACAACGATGAGATGCATGCGAATAGAGGAGAATTAAAGTACTAACTACAGTTTCACATAAGCTAAGACCTTCTTCTAACCCTCCAGCGATCAGGATTTTTAGGATGATGTGGCTCAATGCATGTTGAGCTTTTGGTTCCAACTATATAGGATATATATAGAGAGAGCTATTTTAGATTAGCTTCTCACATAAATTACACATCACTACAAAATAGTACAGGTCTGATTAAAGACCTTAAGTAAGCCATGGCCTGACTGGAACTGCCACACCTAACTGCTAGAGTTTCCATGATCTAATAAACTTATATCCAATTAACTTGTGTCTTAGGAAAATATCCAAGTTGTGGTCCGAAACATGCCACGTCTAATGAGAGCAAACAAGCGTATGTCCTTTCATCTCAAACACGCAGGAGATCTGTGTGGCATTCCATTAAAGAAAGAAGCATATGTCCTTCTAAGAGTAATAATTACCTTTGGCTCATGATCAACATTATTCTTTTGATGTACTAAATTTATAATTCCCTCATGCACTTCTCTTTTCTTCTTCATCACATCTAGCCATTGATTTGAACCCTACAAGCAATCCAAGATGGTGATGTCAGGTAAGTTTGATGAAATGCTATTACACAATTGCACATCTGTCACATTTGGATGTATTACATTCCAGACATCTAAAAGTATATGAAAAATTAGATTTAGCTACCTGTTGCAAGTTTAGAAGAAACATAAGAACATGATTTTCAAAATTCACAAATTGAAAAAAAGAACTACTTGATTACTTTGGAATTTCTTACCCTAGCAGCTTCACCTTCAGCCTCTAAAATCGTCTGCTTCGGCCTGGCATAATCATTAATTCAGAATGAGACCCATTACATGACACAGAATGAGCAAGTGCAAGAAAAATTGGAAGTAATGCTAACTCAAGAAATTACCGAAATGATTTCAAGCGTTCCGAGAATGCAAGAGCTGAAAGCTCATCTGACCCAAGTACGTCCCTGAAAATTGGATGAAGACCTTCACGAGGCAAATCTTTTACCCTTCTGATTGATTCTGTTGAAGGCATTGGACGAGTCTTCAGATACAAATGGAAAGCATTAGTGCATGGCTTTTCCAATGCAATTAGATCTGTACATCCATTGATGACTTCTTTTATTCCATCAGATACAAGATCAATGATTGTCTGAGGAAAACGCCCATACACAGTTTCTCCATTTGCAAGAGCACGATCAATTTTTAAATTCATTCCCTCCATATCCTTCAGAAGTTCCTCCTCTGTTGGAGCAGGTCTAAGAGGCTTTGAAAGGAAAAGATGTAGGTCCAATAAATATGCCATGTCCTCCGAAGTGACAAAAGTATATGCTGTGCCACTTCTACCTTGTCGAGCTACTCTGCCAACCCTATGAACGAATAATTTAGGCTTTGCAGGGAAGTCCCAGTTCACCACATTATCAAGCAATGGAATATCCAGACCCCTTGCAGCAACATCTGTCACAATAAGTATCATAGTTTTCCTTGCCCTGAATTTTGAAATATGAATATTGCGGGCTTCTTGATCCATAGCACCATAGGAAAGGGAAGGTTCTAAGCCCTCCTCCCGGAACAGAATATTTAGGAACTCCACATGATGCTTGGTTGAAACAAATATTATTGTCTGTTCCTCAGAGCTGATTCGCTCCCTGACCAAGTACAGTAAAGCAGCTAATTTCTCCTCCTGACGCAGCGTGAAAAAGGCAAGTTTAAGATCAGGACTGATCTTTTTGTCCAAATCAAGTCTTACAATTTGTGGGTCACGTAGACCAGCTTTTGCAAAATCTGCAAGGGCTTGTGGCAAGGTGGCGCTGAAGAGCAATGTTTGTCGTGTATCACTCAGCTTATGTAGAATGTCATGCAGCTGCTGGATTAACCCCAAGCTAAAGAGGGAATCTGCCTCATCAAACACAACATATTCCACTGTCCGAAGATTCAAGTCCTCAACCTCCGCCAGATGGTGCACGAGTCTGCCAGGTGTTGCAATTATGATATCCGGATTTTCTGCCAATTCCTCAAACTGACTCTCCATGCTATCTCCACCAACAATCAGGCTAATCTTTAGATCTACAAAAAGGAAAATATATATACTCATCAACATTGTTATAGTATTTTATCTGGCAGATAGAAAGACACAACCTAGAAAAATAAACAAATGTTATCCAAGTTATAATGAGGATATATTACAAACACCACTGGAAAATTACTGAGGGTCACAAGCAGCTCAACACGTGTTGCATCATGTTTAAAGATTGTGTCATATCGTTAACACAACTAATAAGTATGATATTGAGGAACACTCAACAAAATCAGCAGTGACAATGAAAAAGTAAGCTAACGAATAACATGAGGCTGCATGCATGCTATCAATTAATCAATGGCTTATGGATATTTCAGCCCAACGATGCATGATTCAATGCAACATAGGAAGCTTAAACTCCAATAACCATACAATTTCAGAGACATACAACAATCCTAAAGCAAAATAACCAACCCATAGACTGCTGTTAAGAAATAACGACATAATTTGGCAAAACATCAAAAATCTCAAAGCAGAAGCATCACGAGAAAGTATAACCACCACCCTATAGATCAAATGTGGCTTACGCGAATCAGATTATTACCAAGCTAATGAGCTAGATTAGCTGGGGGGTGGGTAACGAGCGGGAGGGACACGCACCAGTGAACTTCCCGAGCTGCTGCGCGAACTTGAGCGTCTGCGTGGCGAGGTCGCGGGTCGGCGAGAGGATGAGCGCGCGGATGCCGGCGCCCGCGTCGTGGCGGCGGAGGCGCTGGATCATGGGCACGAGGAAGGCGGCGGTCTTCCCGGAGCCCGTGCGCGCCATGGCGGCGATGTCGTGGCCGGCGAGGATGAGCGGCATGGCCTTCCGCTGGATGGGGGTGGGCACGCGGTACCCCTTGTGGCGCACCCCGCGGTACACCTCCTCGCACAGCCCCATCGACTCGAACCCGCCCGACTTGGCCTTCCTCTTGCTCGCCCCTTCCCCCTCCCGCTTCGGCCGCCCCGGCAGCGGCTTGTGCTCCGCCATGGCGTCCGCGGAGGAGGACCTCGGCTTGCCTCCGCGGGAGCTGGGTTTGGAGGGGTTGAGGCGCGCCATGGGAGGGAGGAGAGAGGGAGAGATGGGGTGGGTGGGTGGGTTTAGGGCTTTGAGGTCTCGGCCGCGGCGGCGAGGCGAGGCGGGGGGAGGAGGAGGCGGCGGAGTAGGCAGCAGGGTTAACCTGCGAGGCTGCGAGACGGTGCGTGTTTGGCGGGCTGGGCTGGAGAATGTGAATGGGCCACTGGGCTCACTCCTATCTTCCCTGGAGAAAAGGAAAAAGTACACCGGAGGTCCCTCAACTTGTCAACGGGTTACAAAATCGTCCTCCAATCGCAAAACCAGATATATGGCATTTCTCAACTTACAAAACCTTTCGCTTTAGGTCCTTCATTGGTTTTGACCCCGGTTTTATCCGACGTGGCGGCTAAGTCAGCGTGAGACCCATGTGGGCCCACATGTCAGGATGCAACGTCAGCGCCCTCTCTCTTCCCTCTCCTCTCCTTTCCTCGTATCTTCCTCTCACTTTTCTTCTCTGCAAGCGGCAAGCCGGCCGGCAGGTGGGGAGGAGGTCGCCGGGGTGAGGCGGGAGAGGAGGAGGTGGCGGGCGACGAGGCGGCGGCGGTGGTGGTGGCTGCGACGCGGGAGGGGAGGCCGCGCCGCCGAGGTCAGATTCTCCCCCCCCCCCTCTCTCTCTCTCTCTCTCTCTCTCTCTCTCGTCTAGATAGGCCGGCTGCCGGCGACGCAAGAGAGGAGGTCCGGTGGCCGGTGACGCGGGGACAACAGTGGCAACGTGGCGGCGGGAGCGCTGCCGGGGAAGAGCGAGGATGATAGGGACGCATCGTCGCCGTCATCTATCCGCAGATCCCCTTGTGTGTGCCGTCGAGGTGAACCACTGTCGCTGCCACCATAGGCTAGCCGGCGAGGAGGAGTATGGGATGGGTCTTCAGGCTAACCGCCGGCGGCCACCGCGCGCCTCTCCCCATCGTCCGCCGTGACACGCTGGCGGAGTCCGTGGTGCTACGTGCGCGCCGCCGGCTGGGACCCCCGCCTCGTCAACGCATCATACCGGTGGGTGGAGCATGAGCTAGTGTTCTGCCACACCGCCACCGACTTCCTCCAGCGAGCCCACTCGAGGTGACTCACCTTGTTCCTCCACCAGTGGCGGTAGCGGCGGCGTGGGGGGAGGCCCTCCTGCTCCCGCGTCGTTGCCGTCGCCGGCCGCCGGACTCCCGCCTCCCCTACCAGCCTCCTCCCCACCCGCCGGTTGCCCTGCCCAACCGAGGAGAGAAGTGAGAGAAAAGAAGAGGAGAGAGGAAGAGAGGTGGAAAGGGGAGGGGAAGAAGATGCTGACATGTGGGACCCACGTGGATCCCACGCTGAGTCAGCTACCATGTCAGAAAAAACCGGAGTCAAATCCACCGAGGGACTTAGTTTGCACTGGTTTTTGTAGGTTGGGGGATGCGTAGTATCCGGTTTTGTGGTTGGAGGACGATTTTGTAACTCAATGACAAGTTGAGGGACCTTCGGTGTACTTTTTCCTGGAGAAAAAGGGATGCGTTTGTAAGAGGAATAAGTTCACCTACCGTCCCTCAACTTTATGTCGAGTCTATATGACATACCTAAATCCCCAATACTCCGTATCATAGATCTTCACCTCTCAAATGTTCAAAATTGTGCAATCAAGGTCTTACGGCAGTATATATGGGTGGTTTCGCTAACGTGGCAGGGGAGGGCGGCGACGGAGGCGACGTGGCCACAGCAGGCAGCCGGAGCAGAGGAGGGCGCGGCGCGGCCACAATAGGCTTCCAGAGGAGGGGAAGGCATAGCGCGGCCACAGCAGGCGGCTAGAGGAGGGGAGGACGAGGCAGTGCTCCCTTCCCCTTCCTCCCTCCCCACTCCCAGATCCGGCTGAAGGGAATGACGGCGGCAACGGAGACGGCTCTCCCCTCCCAGGTCTCCCCCTTGTCTCCCTCCCTCTTAGATCCGGTTGGAGGAGGGGAGGGTGGTGGTGGCGGCGTGGCTCCCTCCCTCCCAAATCCAGCCGGAGGGTAGGGGGTGGCGGCAGTGGCAGTCATAGTAGGCGACAGCGGTGCCGCAACCTTCCCTCCCCTTCCCTCACTCTCCTTCCCAAAACCCTAACCCTAGATCTGACGCCCGAAGAAGGAGCCGGGGAGAGCGGCGGCGATGTTTTTTTTTGTTCGATGAGAATGATTATCGCATGCGGGTGTCTGACTGTCTGTGGCACCTTCAAAAATAGAGAGGTCACCTGAGAAAATCATTTTTGCAAGCAGGACTGATGTCTATCTATAAAAATGGTGTATTTTCCCAGCCTTGAAGTGTAAGTGGGGTGGATGGCTACCTGGAAAAATATGTTTTGGCCGTTTGTAAAAAGTATGTTTTCTAGTAGTGATTTACAGAAGATTGATTTATAGGGAAGGTGAACATGTTGGTTATGTTGGTGAGCTGACAGCAAGGGCTATGACAACGAGATGACCCTGGCCAACATCGTGGACCATCTCGTTGTCCTTGGCCCTGAAGTTTCCAAGGATATGTTGTTGTTCTTGAGAACATGTTGTGTCATGTCATTGGGAACGGACTGTGTCTTCCCAACAAGATGACACGGGTCATTGGGAACAGGCTACGATAATGAGATGACCAAGCCTATTCCCAAGAACATTATGATCATTGGTCCTTGTAGTCACCGCTATCACGGTCCATGTAGTTATTGTCGTGACCGAAGTAATCAAGTTCAAAGGCAACAAAAATCGCCACTGCGACCAAAATTATCGCTGGGATGGCCGTCTGGTGACGCCCGCGATCGCGCACACCCTGCTCCAGGCGATTGATGGCGACATGGTGGGCAAGTTGTTGTTGGTCGATTTTCCAACACTTGGTCGTGCAGGGCGTTGAGCCGTTCCAGCACCTTAGCAAAACACTGTTGCCATTCGTTGTTATTGTTGGAAACACCAGACATGGATTGTGGTGGAGAATGATTGTTGGAAGCTGAGACCAGGATGCTAGGAACTACCGGCGGAGCACCATAACAGTGCAACTCCTAAGGTTTTGTAGGTGTGCTTGATGGGAGATTGGGAGGATGAGGCCAATAATAACCTCGCCGCCTGGGAGCCGTGGTTGTTTCGATAGAAGAAGAGGAAAAAGTATTTTCGATATATCAATCTTGTCCGCTTTATTCTATAAACTTTGGGTCTTATATAGACCATTACATTGAAAAGGATAAAAACTACTTGAGCTAATTTAAAGGGATAAAACTAATCTTATCGTAGTCAATGATAAGTATGCCGATATCACTCCCACGCGTTCGGCACTCATTGTAGCCCCACCCTCTCACAGTGCACAAAAAGGTATTCCCCACATAACAGCCCTCGAGTTCCCAAGGAGTCGTTCGTGTCATCCGCCACCAACGACCTCATCACCATGCTCCTCTTCAAGGACTAGCTTGACATCCAGCTGTGAAGATGATTCGAGATCCTATTAAAAGAGGATTTATAGGGAAATTGAAGAGGAAGTTGGGGGGAGTAATTCCCCTCAATCAATTGGGAAAGAGGATAGCTGAAGGAGAAAAGTTGAAGGAGGCGCTATGCTAGGGTTTTCACTGGGAGAGAGGAGACATTGGCTAGAGGTTGAAGACGCCTAATGGGTGGGCCTGATCTTGACTGTAGCAATATGATGGAAGTAGGCAATGACAAAATGTGACGACAGTAAGCCTGGGTTGAATTTTAATAAATTTTCTTGCATGCAACATATTTCACAAATAGTAATGCCTTTTTTAAAAAAAAATATTGACAAATATGCAATGGCATATATCCAATTAACCTTTTTTAAAAAATTAAAACAGAGGCTATGAACGAACCAGGTGCACCTAGACCGTACCCTATGCTTGAGAAATTTAACGATATGCCACTCAATAGAGGTGGCTTTAACAGAATACCACACCCTATAGTATGTCCTTATAAAAAGTCCACTCAATAGAAGTGGCTCTTTAATAGAGTGCCACTTTAGGTTGTTTTGAAGCTTTTAATTAGAAATCTCACGTGAAATGACAAAAACACCCCTAGTCTTTTTTCACATGCCCGGAAGAGAGGCCGAAGGCGGTGAGGACTTCTTCCCCGGCAACGGCGATGGTTTGCGTGCGGTGATGCTGCGGTGGGCACGGCGTGGTGGGGAAAAGGCAGACAGGGCGATGGCGGTGGGGGAGGGGCGGGGGTAGGAAACCCTCTTCCGTCGACGCCGCCACAGCGGCCTCGGCCGTCAACCATGACACCCTCTCCGCTAGCACCAAGGCCGCCGCCGACCACCTCGCTGCATTGACCTCTCCGCCGTCAACGAGGACTGCCCCTAGTACCAGGTCGCCCGTCGCGCCTGCCTTGACCCCTTTGCGCCGCCTTCCTTCACCCTCAACCTCCTCAAGAAACCTGTCGCCGACCAGGACGCCGACGACTTCTCCTCGGAGGAGGAATACGGTGATGACGATGACGATGTCGTAAGAGCAGGAGGACGAAGGTGAGGAAGGGGCATTTCGGTCATTTCGCGAGCAAAGTCTGGAAAAAAATATAAACAAAATAAAAAAAAAGGTCTCAAAACAGCCCAAAGTGGCATTCTATTAAAGAGCCACATCTATTGAGTAGTATTTTTATAAATACATCCTAGAGGGTGGCATTTTATTAAAGCCACATCTATTGAGTGGCATATTGTTAAATTTCTCCTATTAGCACTTCCAACCGATGAGACTGGTTTATGTTAACAACTAAGATTGATAAAGTCACGATAGACATTTGTTGTCAATATACATGTCGTCCAGCGTTAAAAGGATATTATCGTAATTGTGAGAGCTCGTGTTATTTTTTTCTCGACTACGCTAAAACACATATTGGTAAGCATGCACACCAAGAACAAGATTACTTACAACTCGTACACCTCACAGAATTTCACACCCCCACATACGCGTGGGGACTACGATGGATTGATGGAGCACTTACCTTTACCTTAAACAACGGCATAAGTAGCGTTCGATAGCAAGTATTTGTTAGATTTTTCCCTTATATAAACTTAACTGCAAAAAATGCTCGTGTATTACAAGGTGTAATTTTCTTCGCCCGTAGTAACGTACAGGTTATAAGTTAGAACTATAATTCAGGATTTACATGAATTTAATTTCATTCCCATAATAATTAAGGGGGAAAAAAATCCTACCTACAAGGGCAGGAACCAGGAAGCCTAGCCGCCAATAGAACCGTAGTCTTTCTTTATACGAACAATTCTGACTTGGATAGCTATATTACTACAGAATATACAGAAAAAGAAATATGCTTTATCCTCGTATTCCAGGTGCACTAACAACTAATACCTCCAACTTGCAAGTGCAGAGGAAGGCATTGCAGAAAAGGTTGTGCGCCCATTCAGCCACTGCAACATTTTCAGTTCCCAGTCATCCGCTGGAGAAGATCAAATGGGACTGTAAACAACAGTACTTTTAAAACAATGCAAAAGTACAATCGTTTTCTGCATACTAACGGGAACTGTTAATTCAATCTCTCTAAATGCTCTCTAAGCAATGACAGGACCAATGTGAGATGTTAATAGTCGAACCAAATGAGCTCAAAAGTTACAAGAAGCAATTATTATCGGTTCATGTATACAACAGAACGAATGATAAACATTAATTCAACCTCTTAATCTTTTTGAAAAATCCGGAGTCAAGATCGATGTATTTAGATGCTGAGTATTCTTACACTATTAGCCTGCAAGCGAGCTGGCAGTGGAACTAGTAAATCAAAATGCAATAACAGCAATCGCTCAACATCATGCCTTTGCTCTCCCTGATAGTCCTGTTTCGACTTTCTTGATCTCAAATATAAGCATCCTCCACATCTTAAGGACAAACATTTCAGCTTCAACGTCCAGGATTGACTGTAGAAGCTCCAACATTTTTGATGCCTGGACATGGTCTTTGGTGCATGAGACGATGTAATCCACCAAAGTTGATTCTTCCTCACCCAGAAATTCAATAATCTTCTTTGCAATCCAGGGCCTCATTCTCTCATGCAACTCATGCTGCATCAAAAGATTTGACAATGTTAGCGGATTATAGCACAAGGGAAAAAGAAAAGGAGGAACAGGAAAGCTAAAATATACTACATATAAATGTGCCAACTAATAATCTTGTTCATGACATTGAACATGACTAAAATATTTGACAGCTGATCTCACCAACTAATTGTGAATTATGGTCAATATGAAGACACACCAACATGTTTAACATTGTACTTGTGAAAACATATTTTTGAGTTCATAACGAATCTATTACAATCAGAAACATGATGAAATTTACAGGAAAGGAAAGGCAGCAACTGCCATTTGATCTGAAACAGTTGAAAATAACACTAAAAAAAGGAATTTACTGACATGAATGCACAAACGCTGGCACAGTAACAACATCAACAGGTACATGCATGCACATAGTAGTAAAAATAAAGAACAAGAAATGACAGAAAAAAAAGGCATGTTCTGAACACTGAGAATGCAAAGTCACCAAATATATTTTACCTTGTCATATATCGCCCAATTAATATCATAGGCAAAAAGCTCTTCCTTTGTCCTCGGAATCATGTCAATTAATTGTTTTGCATCCAAAATATTCTTGTTCTCAGACTTTGGCTTATCTTGCTTATCTTTCTCTCGGTCATGTGTCTTTTCCCTTCTCTCATCACTGGTGCGACCAACATCTTGATCATTTCTATCTCTATCCCTTTGGTTCGTTCTATCACTTGATCTCCAACTCCTATCCTTCTCAACATCAGATTTATCATCCTTTGTTACCAATATGCGCTTGGCAAATTCAGCAGCTGCTACAATATTTGGTTGGCCAGTAGAAGAATTGGCCTGAACAGCTTGCAGTTCCTCTGTTGAGTAATCAATAGGAACTAAAGGTCTTGCCCGCTTATCATCATTATCTTCGTCATCCTCTTCAGCAAAAACTGAAGGTACAGATGTCCGCTTGCCAGAGCCAATCAGACCAAAACCAAGTTTCTTTGCTGGAGCACTGGTATTATGCTTGGTATCCGAAATTTCACCAGGTGTCATGTTTTTGTCATCACCAATGTTATCTTTACCATTATTAACACCTGTGGCAAGAAAACAAAATAATACTGCGTAATTATAACCAAGAAAATGAGATAACTTGTTGGGAAAAAAAAATCAAACTCACCGGAATCAACACCATTAGCAAAGGCATCATTGTTACCAACATCCACAACAGCTGGTTTGTCTTGTGCATCTCTTTCCTTTCCATCATCGCCATCAACCTCCATAACTGTAGCAGATTCTGCCACCACTGCCGCTGCCGCTGCCGCTGCAGCCGCTTCATCCGCTTGTTGTTGCAACTCTACAGCTCGCCTCCTTGCTTCAGCAATTTCTTCCTCCTCCCTTAATTTGTCTGCTAAGTCTTCCTCCTTTTCACGCAGCCGCCTCCTTTTCCGCTCTTCAAGTGTGCCACTGCTCCTTCGTCGTCTTTTCCTATTGTCCTCTTCATCACTATCATCTTCCTGCTTCATGATCTCCCTTTTGCGCTCACGTTCCCTGTCCTTTTCTCGTTCCTTCTCATGTTGTCTTTGATATTCTTTTTCTCTCTCTCTAAATTCCCACTCCTTGAGGCGCTCCTTGTACAACCTCTCCACTTCTTTATACTTAATATCCTTCTCTCTGTCTCTCCTGACTCTTTCTCGCTCTCGCTCGCGTTCATGCCTTTCAAGTTCTTTATCCTTGTCCCGCTTCTCCTTATCACGCTCTCTCTCCTTCCTCTTATCAGGAGACCCAGTTTCTATCCTTTCGGTCTCATTAACTGCCCTTTTATCACTTCCAGTGCCACTCTTATCTTCAGAATCTGCAGCAGCAACATGTGAATATAAGGCAATTCAAATGTACAAATGCAATTAGCATAAAAGGGAATTATAACTGCAGTATACCATTTTTTGTCACATCTACACTATACTCTCCATTCTTGTGTTTGGAAGAGATGTCAGCAGATTGTTCAACTGGGGGAGGTGGCGGTGGTGGTCTAGTCTTTAACCACTCTTCAATCATACTACTAATTTTTTCAGCAACATCCTTATCAGCCTTAGAATCTTCCTCTGTAACAATCCCAAATTTCTTAGGATTTTCTTCATTGCCCTTATCACCAGCATCTCCTGTCCCTGTCTCTGTTTCATCAGAAACAGGCTTTGACAATTCATTTCCAGTGACAGCAGTAGTCCCACTACCACCTCCATCTTCCATTTCTTTGGTCTTTTCTTGTGCTTTCTTCTTTTCTTCAACATGTTTCTTCAGGTACTCTTTGGTGGCATCATTAATGTTAACCTTGCCATTGAAATAGAACACAAGGATGCATAGTAGTTATTACTTGTTTTTTAAACTTTACAAAACCTAGAAACATTTATTCAAAGGAAACCACAGAGGGTAAACCGTCTGAAAAAATATATTAAAAAAACTCATTTTCTGGGTGCCTGATCCAAATAGTGAATTTATGCAACACAGAACTTCTAGTTTGAGAATACTGTTGAAACCAGTAGTGCTAAAGCTCAATTCAAATGTAGGTAGCAGGCCAACAGAGGCATGGTTAGCTTAGTAGGTTGTATGCATAGCCAGGACTCAGCAAACTGAAACATGGTGCACTACAGATTTAGTTGATCTACTACCATTTCAACATTAAGTGGTGTTCCGTGTCACCCAATTATCTCTTTAGGGCCTGTTGGTATAAGGGGCGCATGGAAAGTAAAAACCTTATGAATCCAAAAATGCCTGATGCTTCCCCCATCAGTTAATAATAACTCCTACATAGCTAGAAATCTAGGATGCCCTCACTTAAGGGGGCGGGGGGGGGGGGATTCCCTTGTGTTTTGGTTCATTTTAATACAAGAATCTTTAGAAGTTTTGATCCATGAACATTCCCAACCTATCTAAAAAGATATTGACAGAATTCAGGCACGGCATGTTTGTGGCACAAAAGCACACTAAATTTGGTAATTACATTAAGATGGTAAATGCATAACAAATGATATCAGAAAATAATTGAGGTCAGTGCTGCCAGTTATTTGCATATAAATCAGTCAATAACAACTGAAAACATGACCATAAATACCCCAAACAATAGAAATACATAATGATACACATACCACAAGTTCTTGTCCATCAATGCTCAATTTATTGAGCAGCCGCGTTGCACGAAGGATGCCTTCGGCAGATTCGAACTCACAAAAGCCAAATGATACAGGCTTTCCACTACTTGGATTCTGCGTACGCTTCCAACTCTTGACAGGGCCACAAAGCTGACAATGGGAGAAAATTAAGACAGGCAAAATCCAACAGAACTGATTAGATGTACTCAACAATAAATAGAAATATCTTCTGAGAATACAAGAAAAGAGACATACACGGAGAAGTGAAAGGAGAAATTCATTGTCCACTGTTGGAGCAATCTTGCCAACATAAACTGCAGTTGGCGGTTTGTCAGGAGGTGTAACAGCTGGAGTAGGTGGTCGGGCAGTAGGGGGAACCACAGGAGGTGCACCACGAATCCCAGGAATAATTGGTGGTCGTTGAAGCGGCATAACACCAACTGGAGGCATCGGGCGTGGCGGAAAGCCAGGGCGCATCATAGGGTATGGTCCAGGGTAGCGAGGCATACCTGCAGAAACAAGCAAACAAACATCTATGCTACCATATTAGTAACAGTACAGAAAACAACATGCTTGGTGAAAACAATGATCCTTTCTAAGAATGTGGAGTCAAAAGCAACGGCAGTACGGAAAGTAATAGGTTACCATAAGATAAATAAATAGGAACGGTACAGAGAAGATCAGAAAAAAAGTTTGCTAGCTCATAATAATAGTAATCAACACTGAAAAAAGCAATATGCTTGCCAAATAAAACAAGAATTAAACAACTAAGTCAAGCTGGCCTTACCTTTTAGTATCCCATGGACAGGATAATGTACTTGTATTGGTTATTTGCAAAACTTGGGATAGCTCACACCATTGCAATGCACTACTCAGATATAAAAGCTTAAGAAAACATGTCACTATGTCTAAATTTCTTATTAAGGATAAAATTAAAACACGCCAGCAGAAAAAAAAGGAATACTTGACAAGAAATTTAAGCGATAGGAAATTATGATACCTTGGCACATTTTTGCCACAACCCATTGCTGAAGGATCTAAGTACATAAAGAAACTGAACCTAATTAAGCAGTGAGCCGAACTAAGGCATGTAATCAATTAAACAATGAAGAATATAACCAGTTCAAATTCAAGCATTCAGCATACCACACGCAGTGAGGGAGCGAATGATCGGTTAGATCTTCAGTTAGAGCTGCAGAATCAAACATGAACGAGCACCTCTCGCGGTAGGGAGTAATGGCCGGCATGAGCGCGCACCGCTGTAGCATAGAAATACCCGGTCATCGTTATCAAGCGAGGGTATCCCACATCTCACAAACCCAACCCCTCAACACTAACACCTCCCACTTAACCACGCCAGATGGCAAATCCTCCCAATTCCCCCCCACACAAATCGATGAGATTTCCCTACACCGCGGCCCACGAATCGCCTTGATATCGTATACAATTCAGGGTCCAAGCATAAACATATATTATCATCATTCATTAATCCCTCGAGAGCATCGCGTACGTATATACACGGAGAGATGATTGGGAGATCGAGGGACCCACCGGGAGGAAGAGCAGCGCCTGGCTGCTGGAGGTACACGCCAGGCTGGGGCGCGTACATGGCGGGCGGCCGCACGGCGCCCGGCGGCATCACGTGGGGGACCCCCGGCGGCTGCATCTGCTGCGCCATCGGGTACCCCGGGTTCGGCACGCCGCCGTACTGCGGCGGCACCTGCACCTGCACCTGCTGCGGTGGCGGGGGCGGGGGCGGGGCGCCGAGCGGGCGGAACGAGGGGGCGAAGGAGTGCATCGGCGGCGCGACCACCGGAGGGGTGGACATCGGGGGCGGGGGCAGCGTCGGGCTAGGGTTAGGGTTTGGCGTGAGTGGGGTGGGAGTCGTCGCGGGGTTCGGCGGCGTGTTGGTGGCGGGGACGGCGAGCGGCGGGGTGCCCGCGGCGGCGGTGGGGGGCGTCGCCGGCGGCGGGTCTAGGCCGTCGGGAGGAGGCGCTACGGCGGCCATGGTGGCGGGGTGAGGAGTATGACCTGTGAGGCCGGGGGGTATTAGTACAGGATGGTGATCGATCGATCGAAGCCATCGAGGAGGAGAAGACGGCTCTGGGTCGGAATTCTGGAAGGAACTGATGGGCCTTACTGGGCTAGGAGCTGGGCTAGGCTGGGCTCAATTGAGAGCGGATCATAGGAAAAAGTACACCGAAGGTCCCTCAACTTGTCATCGAGTTACAAAATCATCCCCCAACCGCAAAACCAGATACAGGATGTCGCTCAATTTGGTCCTTTGGTGGTTTTGACCCAGTTTTGTCCTACGTAGCAGCTGAATCAACGTGGGACCCACGTAGACCCCACATGTCAGCGTTGCCACGTATCACCCTGTCTTTCCCCTCCTCTCTCTCTCGCACACTTTTCTCCTCTCTCCCCGCCGCGCCGCGCTGCGCCTCCCTCCCCGGTGCTCGCGCTCCTCCTCCTCCACTTTCGCGTCCTCGCGGCCGCCACGGGTCCCACTTCTCCCCCGGCGGTCTCCCGCCTCGCGGGCCGCCTTCGCCTCTCCCCGTCCATGGCCGCCGTCACGCTCCGCGCGCTCGGCAACGGCGCGCCCGACGTCACGGGTGAACGACGCGGAAGGGACGGCGAACGGCGTGGCGATGAGCGCAACGGCCCCGACGACGAACGCGGAGACTTTCTTTGTGGTGAAGTGCGTCATGCCGACGATGCCCTTGAGCTGCTGCAGCATGATCACGACCGCCATGCCGCCCATGAACCCGGTGATCGCTGGCCGTGACATGAAATCCATCAGGATCCCCAGCCTTGCAGCAAACACAGATCGATATATATACCAGTAAGGAAATCTCAGGAACACACACAAAGATCGAAGAGATCGATCATATCGATCTCGCGTTACCTGAGGAATCCAAGAGCGGCCTACAGGACGCCGGTGAAGACGAGCTGCGTGTACAGCCGTGGGTCGTCGCAAGCCCTCACCTTGCCACCGACGATGGACGCCACCAGCAGTGACGACGTGGCCGCCGACGAAGTACCTCGCCACCCGCCACGCGCGCCACGCGGGTGGCATCCCGCCGAGCCCGCGGAACGGGTCGTCGGGAAAGAGTGTGTCCTTCAGCCCCGCCCGCATCGCCGCGCCGAATAGCCGCACCGCCGCCGGCTGCAGGTTCAACCTGGCCCTGCAGTGGCGCCACGACGAACGTGGAGACGAACGGGCGTCGGCGGCCAGCGACAGGCGACGCGGTGGCGGTGACGGCGGCGACCATAGAGAAGGGAGGAGGCCAGCGGGTCGAGAGGAGGTCGGCGGGGCGACGAGAGAGAGGAGAAGGTCCAGCGGCTGGCTCGCGGCCGCTTGCTCGCCGGCCGCGCGCTTGCTTGTCGTCGTCGGCGCTCCGCTCTGCCGGTCGCCCGCTCGATGCAGTGCTCGCCCGCTGCTGCTTCGCTCCACTCCGTCGGCCGCCGCGCGCTCACCCACCTCCTCGGGCCATCCTACGCTCCGTCCCAGCGCAAGCGGAGGCGGCGCCGCTGCGGCCGGTCGAGGACGATGTCGACCTCGACATCCTCGTGCGAGAGCTCGCCCGCCGCTCCGCTCGGCCGGCTCCGCTCTCTGCCCGCTCCGTCTTCCTGCTCCAGCCGCTCGCCATAGCCCACTGCCGCGCTCGCTCGCCGTTGCTCCCCCTCTGCAACCGGCGACCTCCATGAAGACAAATCCATGATTGGACTAGTGAAAGTTCATCCATGAAGACAAATCCAAAGAGCCCAATCATACAGTATAAAAATGGCATCGTAAATTGGCAAGCTGTTCAAGAGGAAGGCATGGCCATGTATACCAGAGTTGTGCGGCGGCGGCATGACGGCGAGGAGCAGGATGGTGTCGCCGTGCTGGACGACGTGCGTGAGCGCCCAGACGACGGCGGCCGTGGAGATGTCCCTGGCGGCGGCCCGCACGGCCTACGGCCTCTGTGTCGCTGGCCTCCTCCCAACCGGCCTACTCCCGCGTCGCCGCCGCCGCCGCCTCGTCGCCTATCGCCAGCCGTCGGGCCTTCTCCTCTCCCTTCTCGCCCCGGCGACCTCACGACCCGCCGGCTGGCCTGGTAGAGGAGAAAAGCGAGAGACAGAGAGAGAGAGGAGGAAGTGAAACGAGGGGAAGGAGAGAGGGTGACACGTGGCATCCTGATAGGTGGGACCCACATGGGTCCCACGCTGCCTCAGCCGCCACATCAGATAAAACCAGGGTCAAAACCACCGAAAGACCTAAAGTGAACGGTTTTGGAAGTAAAGGGACACCGGATATCTGGTTTTGCGGTTGAGGGATGATTTTGTAACTCGATGACAAGTTGAGGGACCTCCGGTGTACTTTTTCCTGGACCATAAGTACTGCATATAAGTTTATTTCGCCTACCTCTAGCCTTTGAATCGCCTCCCTGAACCGCAATACCGGTGTAAATAGAGTCCCTCGGCGGTTTTAGTAGCGGTTTCATCCTACGTGATATTTATGTGGCGGGTTGACTTGGTTTTTATCCCATGTGACATCAACGTGACGCTTACATGGCACTAAAAAATAAAACCTAAATGGGATCCACATGTCAGTGGGTAAAAAAAATAAAAACAAATATCAGGCCCATGTGCCAGTTACCCTTTCTCACTCTCTCTCTCTCTCAACCCTTTTCTCTGATTCTATCTCCTTAGTCTCCGCTTCTTCTCCGCGGGTGATAGGGGATAGATGTTGGCAAGGGAGCGCGGGGCAATGACTTACGACGAATGGCGGCCGCAGTGGGACGGAGCACAAATACTCAGAGCCTCCCATGTTCGTCTTCGTTCGCGACGGCACAGGCACTGGTTGTCGCCCCCTTAGTCGTGTTATGGTGAGGTGAGTGGAGTGGCTAGAAATGGTGCGCAAATGGAGCGCGGCGAGAAGCCAACAAAGGCCAGGACGCCAAAGGGTGCGACAGTGGGAGGAGACGGGATCGGCTTGGACGGGGCAACACTTGATCGTCCCATCCTTTGCCTCTTGCAACACCGACGAAGATGGAGAGAGGGAAATGTTTGCGATGGCGGCTGATCCGCCTGCTCACGCCCCCCACACCTTCGCCTCCTCTCTGTGACAGTGGGATGGGGTGGGGCAAGGGGTTGATCTTCTCCAACTCTTCGCTCCCCCGCCTGTATAATTGTGAACTCGCCTCCCGTCATCCCGCGCAAGCCCAGATCTATTGGCGCACGTCGGTGCACTCGTGCGTGGGACGGGGACCCCGTCGACCGATGGTTTCTGCTGCAGCATACATGTTGTTGTTCATGCTCATGGGGCTCGCCGGCTAGCACCACAACCGGAACAAGGTGCTCTTCTTTTCTCGTGCTCTCTTCATCTCCCTCGCCATTGGGGTATACCTCTCATCGTACCTCCCCTCCCTACCACACCTCCTCATCCCATCCTTCCACCCCTAGCCCATCTCGTCGTCTGCTTCATCGGCATCGTCCTCGTGCGTGCCTCTCCTGCACCGCGTGGCTTGGGCGTGGCCCCATCGCTCGAGTCCACCTGCGGCCTCATGCAGCTGTCAGGGGTGACGTGTCATTGCTGCTGAATGGCTCGTGGTGATGGTGGCTTGGGAATAATAGGCGCGACTGCTAGTGCTCGCGATGCTCCGCCTCCTTCTCAACCCAATTTGAGACCACCACCAGCTCGGTGGGGAAATAAAAGGGAAGAAGAAGAGGAGGAGGGGTGGGGCTGACAACTAGCCCCCACCATATTTTTATCATGTGGGACCCACTTCTATTTTTAATTCCTTTGAAGACTAGGCTGCCACATCAGCACACTTGGACCAAGTCAACTATAACATCGGCAAAAACCTCTTCTCAAACCACTGAAGGAGTCAATTTGCACCGGTTTTTTAAGTTGGGGGAGGCGTTATATCCGATTTTGCGGTTGAGGGATGCAATTCAAACAAGGGAAAAAGATGAGGGAGTCATAATAGACTTATTCCTAAGTACTATAGCGAAAAAACCTTATATTATACTTGAGGCTATGATGACGATTCCAGCACAAGTGGCAATGCTAATTACAAGTGTGAGAAGAGAAACCATCATTTAGGAGCATGGGAGGTAGAGGGTGGGAAAATAATGGATGAGCTATAGGTGACCATAATGCCGATTGTAGAACCATTGATTTCATGAGAGGTAGGATCAACATTGGGGGAGAGATATGACTATGGATGACAAAACCTAATTAGAAAAGAGTATGCATTGACGCAATTAATATTTTACACATAAGATAGGAAACTCGCATGGATCTCGTTGGAGAGGAGGTTGTTAGGGAGGTGTATCTCACCAAGGGGAAGGCTGTTGGAGCCAGATCTTGTCGGAGAGTATGTCGGGGGCAAATCTTCTTGCCGGGGGGTGGGGGTGGGGGTGGGGGGGAGGCTGTTGAGTACAGATCTCACCGTAGGGAAGGCCGTCGAGGGAAGATCTTATTAGATAGGACAGTTATAGGGGCAGATCTAGTCATAGAGGAGGTCATCGGTGCACATATTATCGGAAATAAGGCCATAATGGGTGGATCTTATGAAAGGGCATACCAGTCAGGGGCGGCGGATCTCGTTAGAGAAGAGGCCATTAGGGGATCAATCTTGCCAGAGCCTAGAAGAGAGGCCACCAACGAGTAAAGGCAAGAGGAGAGGGGGCTTGAGTTTGGGGAAGGAAGAAAAGGGATGCGGCGAGGTGAGTAGAGTGCTAGGGTTCAGGTTTCCTTCTTTATATAGATTGGGAGGACTATCTGAATTAGCATCGGACTAAGATCAAACGGTCCACTATTGAAATGATTTGGGGATATAAAATATTCACAAGTCATAATACCATATAGCCAATTCCAAAAGAAGAACATATTGATGAGTAACTGCTATTCATTCACCTCTCTCTGATAGGTAATTCATGCACGAGGTGGAAAAATTCCAAAATTTCATATTGGTTTATCTTTGTGTTAAATTCACTCAATCTCTCTCCCTTTGACTAGGACAACCATAACTTCCTCCCCTTCTTCCTACGTGACAAGCAACTATAGGTTGATGTGTAAGATGGAAACATAATATCGGAATTATTCAATTATTGATTTTGACATGTTACAAAAATGGTATGACTTTGAAATGTGTATAACACTTTTATCCATATAAATTTGCATATGTTTCAAATATGGGAAAATTGGCTTGTTATTTTGTTTTGTGGCAATACCATTAATAGTTATAAAAGTATTTCAATCTGGTGTCAAGTATTATTATTTCAAACTTTAAAAGAATAATACTTAATCTATGTGCTATATATTCAATTTATCTTTGAATTTTAGCAGTATTCTGTTGGCTACTTGTGAATTTTATATATTCAATATGTCATTGAATTTGATCTTGAAACTTTGCTTGCTTGTATAATATCAGCCCCTTATATATGGTAACTTTTTTTTAGACCTTTCTCCAGAAAAAAAGGTATAGTTTGTGAGGGTACCATATTTGCTCTTGAACTAGTATGTACAAATTAATATTAGAGCTAGCCATAAGCCCATAATGACTGTCGTATAATAGGACGTGGATTGAGGCCGAGGTGGTTAACTCCAAGTAAAACAAGGGATGAAATTATGTAGCAATGCTCCATAAATTATTCTAATTTGCAACATTGTTGTTAGCTCACTAGTACAGATCCTTCTATATGTGACGGCCTCTAACATGTCTAGAAATAGCGGGCCGTCACAAGGAAGTCATCTCAATCGGACCGAAAAGTGCCAAATTGAGATATGGTCACACAGACATGTTAGATGGGTATAAAACTTAAGCCGTCACAGATGACACCTATCAGTGACGGGCCGTAGTTTAGGCCCGATTGAGATAGCATTCCATATCTCAAATGGGCCTAAAGTTGCGGCCCGTCACAGATGACCATCATCTGTGACGGGCACCAACTTTAGGCCCGTTTGAGATAACATTCCATATCTCAAACGGGCCTCAAGTTGGGGGCCGTCACAGATGACCATCATCCGTGACGTGCACTAACTTGAGGCCCGTTTGAGATAACAACTAGGCCCGTCACAGATGACTCATCAGTGACGGCTATATACTTAATCTCTATCGGGCATTAACTAAAGCCCGACACCGATGAATATTTTTCCATTTTTCATATGAAATCTTTATATTTGTAAGTTGAACTATAGCAAAATAATTAAGTGCAGTATAATAATTCATTTTATTAGTCAAAATAATTTTACGGGTAGTAAATGATTTCAAATGGAAAAAAATGTCAATAACAGAGTTGTATAAGTTATCAAGATTTACAACTTTTAGTTTGGCCATTTTTCTATATAACATTTTTTGAACAGTTTAAATTTGAATTTGAAAATATGACAACTTCAAACAATATTTTCAAATACTAAATGATTTCAATTGAAAAAGTCATCAACAACAAAGTTGAATAACTCATCAAGATCTAAAACTTTTATTTTTGTTGTTTCTTCATCTGACAAAATGTTAGAAAATTATTCACAAATTTTACATATATGTGTTATAGTTTATAAAACCAGATAAGAGTTATGTCAATTTTGTGAATAATGTTACTATCACTTTGTCGTATGAAGAAATAACCAAAATAAAAGTTTTAGATGTTGATGAGTTATTCAACTTTTTTGTTGATGACTTTTTCAGTTGATATCATTTAGTATTTGAAAATGTTGTTTGAAGTGGTCATATTTTCAAATTCAAATTCAAACGGTCCAAAAAATGTTATATAGAAAAATAACCAAAATAAAAGTTATAGATCTTAATGAGCTATACAACTTTGTTATCGATGATTTTTTCAGTTGAAGTCGTTCGTTGATCTAAAATTCTATTTGAATTTTTCAAACTTTGAATTTCAAATTTCAAATTGTTTAAATAGAGTCAGATGGAGAAATGACCAAAATAAAAATTTTGCACCTCGATGAGTTCTACAACTTTGGTTTTGGTGACTTTTCTATTTGAAATCATTTAATAACCCTAATTTTTGTTCGAAGTTGTCAAGTTTTGAAAATTCAAAATTTCGATTGTTCAAATGAACTTATTTGTACAAAGGACCGATACAATAGTTGTACATCTCGATGAGTTATACAATTTTGTTGTTTATGATTTTTGCATTTGACACACAAAAATCGGCCTAAAATTAAATTTAAAGTTCTCATCTGTGATGGGCTTTATTTTTGACAGATCTTATAAGTTCTATAACTTTGTTTTTGACAGCTTTTTCATATGAGTTTATTTAGTATTATAAAATTCAATTCAAAATTCATTTTTTCTAGAAGTCTGATTTGCTTCCTCTTCATGATAGTACTTGCTAAATATATATTTGATCCAATTAACTCGGTTTTACTAGTGAAATATGTGAATGGATATGAAATATGTGATCAAAATGGATGTTATGTGAATGTGATTGTGTTAAATATATTGATGGTTGTGTATGTGAATGAATGTATATGAATGGGGGATGTTGGGGTGTGACATCCTGGCCTAGGGCTTAATAGGATTAATAGAAAACTCGTACCAACAAGTTACAACTACTTTTTTGGAAGCCGATCTCCAAAAAACTTTGATGCTAAGCATGCTTAGCCTGGAGCAATTTCGGGATGGGTGACCGACCGAAAAGTTCTTCCTGGATACACATGAGTGAGGACAAAAAAGACTGGCCTAGGAGGCCTGAGGCTAGCCAAAAAAAAAATAAAATTTATTTTCAAAAAAGACTGGCTTGGGAGACCTGAGGCTAGCCAAAAAAAATCATCTGTGACGGGCTATAGTTAATGCCCATTACAGATAAGGGTCATCTGCGACGGACACTAGTTGTGGCCCGATTGAGATAGGTCATCTGTGACGGGCTATAGTTTGACTGGTCATCTGGGTCAAAGCAATCGGTGACGGGTTTTAATTAGGGCCCGATTGAGATAGATTCATCCGTGACGGCCGTTTGCCCGATTGAGATAACTCTTCACATCTGTGACTTCTAACCTGTGACGGACACCGTACCCGATTAAGATGGGGCTTACCGCCCGATTGAGATGATGGTATCCGTTCCAGTGGCTCTTGTTCCTAAAATACAAAAGAAAAAAAAAACTATAGCAAACATACTCAACAATGAATGATCATTCTCAAAAGAAGTCCCCCATGATGAAAAACAGTTTGCAGGGAGAAATCAAACAACAATAGGAAATTGCATTCGTTTGTTCTCGCATACACATCATAATACATGACATGTTGTGGAACAACTTTAAGAACTAGTACAAAGTAACATGAGGCCGGCCACGACGCATGTGAGGATCTCAAGTCAGATAGACACGGGCAGTGATGATAGACAAAAGAGTGTGTATATGATATAGCCTTTGTTGGTTGTGTCATTGATCCAATGTTTATTTTGGACAAATTTTACTGCCAATTTGTCTAGCTTGTCCCAATCACCTACCAGAAAGAGCCTGGAACACTTCCAACAGAGTGCTATATGCATCACATCGTCTTGACGCTCCTGTTTCGATTTGCCACCGCATCATATCTCCTTTATACCCCTTGGGTCTTATGCACGTAATTTTCTAACTTGGAATTATAAAGTGATTCATGTGAAAGAATGCTTTAATATGGCTTATTTTCAAGCAAGAATCTCAGTGTAAGTGTATGGTATTTTGATGATAAAAACTCAGTGCAATCATGTTCACATCAGCAAAGCTCTAAACAATAGATTCATACATAGTAACTCTGAACAATCATACACGTGTTCTTTACCACCTCTTTCCAACTTATTTCCCTGCTTTTCACGTGCACGTTTTCCCAAACAACTAATATATATATATATATATATATATATATATATATATATATATATATATATATATATATATATATATATATATATATATATATATATATATATATGCTTTTTTAATTATAGAAAAGTTATTTTTAAAAAATCATATTAATTCATTTTAAGTTTATTTTAGCTAATACTTAATTAATTATGTGGTAATGAATCGCGTCATTTTGCGTGCAATGAAGTGAAGTTCTTCACCTTCACCTCCGAACGCACCCAGTAGTCTATTTTAGATATGCTGAACAATAACTCTCTGGTTAGGAATAAGGGCTTGTTCGATATTGCTTGTTCCCAAGCGGAACTGTATGCACGGAAAACTGAGCGGTCTATTAGCGCGTGATTAATTAAGTATTTTTAAAAATAAATCAATTTGATTTTTTAAACAACTTTCGTATAGATTTTTTTTTTAAAAAAACGTATCGTTTAACAGTTTGAAAAACGTGCGCGCTAAAATAGAGAAAAATGGGTTAGGAAAAGTGAGAGCACATAATGCAAATGAAACCAGCGAAATGAAATCAGTCACTGGACTACCAAAAGAACTCGTGATCTGAAACCTCAAACCAGCGAATTTTCAGGGATCAAAAGCCCCTCCCTTTTCGTCTCCACCACAAAGCTCTTCCACTGCAATCGCTGCCGGACTAGTGAATCTGCTGCACCGAGAAGCACCCATCGAGCCCGGTCCAGAACGCGACCGTTCGATTCGAACCCAGCTGCAGAAATCAACCAGAATCCAGCCATTTCGCACGAGAAGATCGAGACATACAGACGATCAAAAGCTCCATGCACCCCCCCGGTTTCAGGCGGACGCATCCGTTTGACCGCAACCAAACCAAACCAAATTCCTCACGCAACGATCGTAATCTATATATTAGCAGTACCTGTTATCCCTCTCATGCAATCAGGCACGCTCTCGTGATCACCATTTCGTCAAACCTCGAATCCAAAATCGCACCCTTCAGCTGGAACTAAAAGCCAAGGTTTCAGTTTTCACGTCGTTTTCAGATGGCGACCTCAGCTTTGCATCATCACTACTTCAGTCCAGCCCTGTACATGTACATATATAAAGGCCACCACTGCGGTACAGACGGACCTACTCCATCTTGTCTCTGAATTTAACTAAATTGTCTTCAGCTCCGTGCAGCTGCTCGTCCTGCTCAGCTCAGGTAACTATAATTCCGATGAACTTAGCAGTTAGTTAATCAAAATTTCGAAGTGTACATGTAGTTCATCGACTTGTGTGTTTCTTTAAATTTTGCAGGAGATGGTGGTGATGGGGCAGCTGGGGAGGTTCATGGACGGGATCAAGTCGAAGCTTCGCGGCGGCGGAGGGAGGAAGACAGGGAGGAAGAAGGAGGCGGCGGCGATGATGACGTACGACAAGATGGACAAGACGGAGAGCATGAGGGTGGAGATCAGGAGCAGGCAGGCGCAGAAGCTCATCGCCAAGAACCTCGTCGCCGCCGACTCCATCGGCCGCCGCAACAAGCGCTTCTTCCTCGCCTTCTGATTTCTGATTCATCAGTTCATCACCATCGAGAATCCAATTAAGCAAACAAAATATATATTTATGTTGTTATATTGATCATCGCCAACATCGAAACATTCAAGCGACAGTATTTACTATGTTGTTATAGATGCGGAGAATCCCATCAAAACAGTTACTGAAATTTTGCTGTTCGTCAGGAGATTCCACGAAGAATTGTTTACAGTGTTTGTGGATGAAGTGATATATATATATATATATATATATATATATATATATATATCATCCGTGTAATCGCCTGTGTTTATTTGACTTGACTGTTCGTGAGAGAAGAGAAAAAAAAAAGCTTAAGCTTTTGGATGAAACTCAGCTGATCTTCCTTGAGCTTGATATGAAGTTATGAATCAAATTTCCTTTCTTTTCATTTTTTGGGTCTTGAAAATGGGGCTTTTCGATCATGGACTTGTACCGATATCTGTCATTCGCTCACCAGTACGTGTTGTCCGTACAGGCAGGAGCTATGAACTCGATGCGTGTTTCAGACTTTCAGAGTGGGTTTTTTTCTGGTAATCTGTCACTTGCGAGGCAAAACAGATCACATGAACAGAGGGGAAGAACACATGTGTCTTGCCTAGTGTGAGCTTCTTCCCTTTTTTGCCCCTCAACTTTCAGGCTTTGTGTAACATAAGGAATCTCAAAGGTGTTTGTTTTGCAATAATTTGTTTATTATTTTTGTAAAAATAAGTTCAATTTCATATAGGAGATCTTGACTGGTGTGCCATTCGCTGTTCACTGTGGCCATGGCCATGGAGGTGATCAAAGTATTCAAATGGTAGCAGAAGAGTACGGACACCTCTGGCTTTCCATTCTTCCACTGACTTTCCTCGTGAGTCACGCTTTGATGCCGTGCACTCAAGGTCGTTCTTAGGTGGTGTTTGGATCCAGGGACTTAACTTTAGTCTCTATATTTAGATACTAATTTAGTGCATTAAATATAGACTACTTACAAAACTAATTACATAAATGAAAGCTAATTCGTGAGACAAATTTTTTAAGCCTAATTAATCCATAATTAGAGAATGTTTACGGTAGCATCACATAGGCTAATCATGTATTAATTAAGCTGAATAGATTCGTCTCGCGAATTAGTCCAAGATTATAGATGGGTTTTATTAATAGTCTACGTTTAATATTTATAATTAGTGTCCAAACATCCGATGTGATAGGGACTTAAAAGTTTTAGTCTCATCTAAACAGGGTCTTACATGATGGGGCTAGCTGCGTCCATCGACGCCTTTGTCCCATGCTTCCTAGCTCTGATTTTTCAAAACTCTTCACCTGAAGCTAATAACATAGTACTTCCTCTGTCCTAAAAAAAACTCTGAATTTTCGTGTCCAAAGTATGACTGTCCGTCTTATTTGAAAAAATTATGAAAAAAATTAAAAAGACAAGTCACGCATAAAGTATTAATCATGTTTTATCATCTAACAACAATGAAAATACTAATTATAAAAAATTTCATTTTAGACGGACAGTCAAACATTGGACACGGAAATCCAGGGTTTGTCTTTTTTTAGGACAGAGGGAGTAGGACTGTAGGAGTAGTGCTCAAGGTAATCCGCTATCTATCTGGATATAGGATCGTTTTTTATTTGTACTATCACTAGAAAAAAAATATCCGTATGTTGCAACGAGTGAATGTTATTTTAATTTTATTATTGTATATAATTTAGTTAAGGTAAAATTCACTCTGAGAATTTGGTTGGATATATATTTTTCTAAAAAATCATGAGCTGCAATTAGGAGTCCAATCATCTCAAATTAACATGTGCGAGTTTTTTAAGAGATTTAACCTGACTCAAATACGGATATGTATTTTCAAAAGTGAACGAAGTTAAAAAATAACTCATACATGGATGACGTACCAAAATACTTGCAAAAAGATCTTCAATTTTAGACATATTTTTATACAAAATATATAATATGTTGTAGAAATTAAAACATATAATATTGATTTTGATAATTTAATTGGTTTTATGTAAACTTGAGCATATTTATTCACATTATTTTCAATCTACCTTATTTTAAATAATATTTTATAGGATCGTATAATCGGGATACTACATAATATTTTGTAGGATTGTGTGGAAATGAATAGTAAGATTGAGATTTTTATTAAAATTATGACACTAGATGGGATCGGTATATTTTTGACTTAATAAAATCGTAGTATCATGAGATATTAGGATATGGATCGAGATACAAACAACCTTGGTAGTGCTCGGCTTAAAACGTACAGGAGTGTTATGACTAAGTAGATGTGATCTCAACCATTAACCATTAATTTACGAGTTTAATGCCAGTAGAAAATATAAATGGTCTAGACAGATTTTACTATCAGTAAATACCATTATAAACATTTAAAAAACATGAATTTTTTTGTGAGAATTGTAGAGTGGGAACAAGCTGAAAATATCTTCTTAAATTTTTAGATAATGGAATAAAATATCTCGGCCTTTACTCAAAGGAGTTACAGCCAATTATTACATAGTAGCACTCAAGAACAGAGTGTAAATCTAAATGAATAGAACACACCATAGAGAATAATAAAGAATCCAGCCTAACGTAAGGAGATCATAATTATTGAAGTCTATTTGTAAATCTCCAACTATAATTGACAAAAAGTTACATAACCGCAGTCTCCAACTTCTTAAATAAATATGACACTGCAAATAGCTATATTTTCTGACAGAGAGAAACCCTCAAGCGAAGGGCACAACAAAGTCTTACATGACCTAAATCTAATGAAATTGTTCCTCAAAACAAAACCTTGTCCCAAAGAAAAAAGACCTCCACACTCGCAAATCAATTAGGAATAAAAAAAAATTCTAGACCACGCCAAAAATCAGTTATATTAACTTGATGTATATTTGAGCCGGTATGATTGCATATGAGTTTGCAGCACTGTATAACAAGAATCTAGCAAGAATGCTTCTATAATTAACATTAGCAGAACTCCAGATATCTGACAGGGCTTGGTATTATTGTAACACCGACACAAACACATCATACGGAACCGTACGGGCCGAAGACCAAAAGAATTATTTTTCTTCTGATCCTGCGTTAGGTGAGATGAGCTCATGACATGCACACGCTAATTGGAAAAGATTATCTTTTGCATACGTAATTATACTCTGAAGAAACTGGCAATTGGCATGGTGCTGTTTCGTCACCCCAAATGACGGTGAAAGCAGTTCATATGGGCAGATATTTTTCCTAGAGAAATTTTCTCACGTTCCCACGAGTTTTCACTCAATTCTTTCTATACCCCTGAATTTTGTCCATTCACTGTATGTCTTTGAGTTTTACTTTTAATCTCCTCTATACACATTGGGCTAATTGATTGTGAGATGACCGTTAACTCTTTGTTCAAAGTGATGATATTGCCCTCTCTTGTACTCGCGTGTTAGCTTTAAAAATACAATTCTGAGTATGAAAAAGATTTGTTTGTAAGAAAAATGAAGGGGATGGAATTATTAGACTGAAAAATTGAAAACAAAAAATTACTTTATAAAAATAAACTTCAAATCAAATTTGATGAAATTCATATAGCATTTTCACCAAAATTTAAACCTGAGAAAAAATAATTTTGATTTTGAACTTCTGGTGAAACTCTTGTATGAATTTAATAAAAAATTAGTTGTGTATGAAAATTGAAATTCTATTTTTCAAATTTACCATCAAATAATTATGTCTTATTTGGCATTATTATAAATTTAAGTTATCACATTGACATTTATACGTTTTTTACAGTAAGTATCACATAAGTATGAGATCAATAGATGGGCAATATGACTATTTAAGAAAAATCTAACGGTCAAGGAAGAGAGCAGGTATAGAAGGCTTCAGAATATAAAGGCTCAGGGGTATGTAAGGAATGGGATGAAATTTAGAGGCATATAAGGGGTTGAATGAAAACTCATGTGCACATAAGAAATTTGCCCCTTTTCCTAGGTGAGCTTCTGTTCTTTATTTGTTCTGAAGCCCAAATTGGACACTGCCTCTCAACTGCCGGTAAGAAAATGCATCATTGTGTTCCAGAGCTCCTTAATAATATGGGAATTTTGTGAGTATTACGGATAAGACATACCTCCTATACCTGAATCCATGACATCCAAAAATACAACATATCTATTCAGTCAAAAAAATACAACATATCTAATATTATACGGTAAGATATATTCAAATATGAAAATAAAATAGATTAGAAAGAAAATTGCTTCCGTGGGAATAGAAAAACATAAGAGTTTGGTCGGAGGAGGCAAGGTTTACTCGGCCCGTATCCTACAAGGATTCTTTGAGTTCTACTTAGAAAGGAAGTTGCCTAACTGTATAAATAGAAGACCCTCTTAAAAGGGAGAGCATTGGATCACTACCCATAGCCATAAGCCACATTGAGAAACAACCAGGAGGAAGATAGTTGCTAGCTGTCGATCACAAGTCGCTGGATAATTCTCGGCGGATCATAGCTAGTGGATTATATTAACTAACTTTCTCCCCCGTTGTAATTAGTGCAGTACTTACCAAATATATACATATAAACTGAAGTAGAGCTATTACTCATCCTAAGGACCCAAACCAGTATAAAAACATGTCTCCCATCTAGTTACTATAATCTGTGTATACCTTAGTACCAACGATTCTCATACCCTACAAATACCATTGTCGGTTACAACCCTTCGACAAATTTGTCTTCACTCCTACCAAGAACTTCTAATTTTTGTCTTAATTCGTGCAAATTTACTCTAAAATTTCTCCCATTTCAGCATAAGTCTGGGATCTTTCCTAATTATCCCTCAGTTCGCAAATGTATATTGATTTTGATGCATACAATCAAATATCAAATTTTAACTTGTTAAAAAAAATCAACATTTTAAATTTAAATATACATAAAATATATTAACTTGATGTAGAAAATTTTATTAGTATATTTGCCATGAGAAGTACTTTCTTTTTGGATATTTGTATATATCTATATATTCAATTTATTTGTAAAAACCAAAGATAAATATATGTATGGGAGGCCGGTTAACATCCTTAGGCTGTGTTCGGGAAACCTCACCTCCCGTACATGCAAAACGAAGCGACACATTTTCCTATGATCAATTAAGTGTTTGCTATTTTTTGAAAAATAGATTAATATGATTTTTAAGCAACTTTTGTAAAGAATTTTTTTTTACAAAAATCACTCCATTTAGCAATTTGAAAAGTATGCGCGCAGAAAGCGAGGGAGGTGAGTTGGGGAAAGAACCCATCCTTAAACAATAGTACTAAGTGAAAGTGAAAGAGATAGTAGAAATCAATCTATAAATTGTTTATATTTTATAATCCAACACCTCAAATATTATTAGTAGATAAACGGCTTTTTATACTATTATTAGAACTCATAAAATCAACGATTAAAATTACTACTACTCAAATACCAAGCAGGGAGTGTGCGATTGCCGGTTGCTGCATAAGCAAGCCTACATTTCGACAAACCGCATGCCAACAGTGACCTGCATGGGAGAAATTAAGATGATGAGATGGTTTGCCAGAAACTTTAATAGCCTCCAAAGAGGTTAGTATTGATCAAGTGTTCTTTAGAAACCATAGAGGGGTCTGCTTGATTAGTTTGGTTGCATGGTCTTATCACTTTATCAGGAAGGCCGTTCTGGTATAGCACAATGATGAGAAGACATAAAGGATGGAAGTAAGCTAATTGGAAGAAACTCTAAACAATTATTCTAGGATTAGAAGTTCAATAATACCTTGGTTTCAAATTACTTATCACCATATATAGCTGTCTTAAGTTAAACGCTTCTATCTTTGACCGTGAAATTCATCTACTTTAACGACAAGTGAATTATGCATTATGAAAATATTTCTGATGGTAAATTAAAAAATATAAATATTATGATGTTAAATTATACATATTTCTAGAAATTGATTGTAAAAAGTTTGACTTAAAATAAGGCTAAAATAACCAATAATATTTTCTAGTAGAATCGAATTTACTTGGATGTCAGGATGGGAATGGCTAGGGTCGATCCATTTATCCACTATTCGTAAATTTATACTAACAGATTTTTAGGTCGCTCAAAAATATAAATAGACCAAACGGCTCAAACCATAAGAACCTAGATTTAAGCGGTTCAACCCAAAATGACTTTACATGCGTAAATGTTTCAAAAATTTATACAAAGTTGCTTCTATATATAGTAAATCATTTCTACAAAATTCAACTAAATTTAATAAGTTTTCATAGTGTGAATACGAGTTTAAAAATTTTGGATCCAAGTTTTACACACATGTAACTAGAATTTTCGGATTTTAATAATGCATCGTGGGCCCCGCATGTCTAAATGGCTTAAAATTTGAACAAAGTTGTTTCTCCATATAATAAATCATCTCTACAAAATTCAACTAAATTTGATAAGTTTTTACAATGTGAACGCGAGTTTAAAAATTTTAGATCTGAGTTTTACATACATGTAATAAAAGTTTTTTTATCTACTAATAATGTAGATGATCCATTTGGATATCCATGGATAATCTATTGATATAATGTAGTCATAATGGATTGACCTTATCAAATCATGGATCAATAAACTCGTTTGATCCATATCTAACCATTTCCATCCTGACTTGGATGGTTCGTGAGAAAAGTGATGAAAGGAACAGCATGCATGGATAGGAAAGCATGGGAAGGTGTGATGGATGAACCACACGAGAAAATTCAGAGATTGCTAACATTATGCATGGCCATTGCCCATGAGTAATAAGTCAACGTTCGGGTTTTCTGAAGAAAGAAAAAGGAGAGTAAGAAGTCAATGAAGCCAGGCAGCTTAGACCGGGGAGATTCGCTATCTCTTGGAAAGTTGAGGTAGTAGTACACATGCATAGTAGTTTTGTGCTTGGGATTTTCATCTCAGATTAGTCGTCCATGACAAGGTTTTTTTTTTTCCATTATACGAAAGATGGACATGCACATTCTAGTTGTCCCAAAATATACGGAAGATTAGTTCGTTTACATGCAAATATGCTGCTTAACACCTGCTCCATAAGTACGTTACCAATCCATATAACACACCCCTAGAATGTACACTGATTTGTCCAAAGTTTTGTAGTCCAGCTAGGACATTTTTAACATTGTAGAGACGAGAGATGACAAGAAATAGGGAATTTGAAAGATACCCCTCCTTTCTAAATTAATCATCATATAATAGAATTCAAAATTCCTCAAATTGATCATCATATAACCATATGGACACGGATTTTATCAGAATACAGTTAATGCAGCATGAGATAATGTGTGCATGCCGAGACGTAATTGGCATAGTGTTTTAATCGATACATGCATTGTGGGAGAATGTGTACATGGTATCTTAATTGATACGATTTAAATTATCCTTGGTCTTGTACATAAACATATATAATGATCAATTTGGAAATGAGAGAGTATATAGAAAACTGATAAAAGGAAAGGGTGAACATAAAATGATTCTTGATAGATTGATTATAGTTGCTTCAATTGAATTGGTCATAGCCCTTATAAAGGGCATGTTCGGAAGGGCTTAAGAGCAAGTACAAACTTTGTATTTGGATAATAATGAGAAATGGGGGGGGATTGGGATTGGGAAATGAATGAAGGGTTAGGATTAAATGGAAGAAGTAGAATGAATGGTTAGGATTTAAAGATGCCTTTTGGTGGGTGGGAAATCATTTCCCCATCCCATTAGCCAAACGCTGCATATAACTTAGACATAACACCTCTAGGCCTCATATGGGCCTCAATCCCGGCCCATCCTCGTGGATAGCCCGGTACAGAAAGCCCATCCAAACGAGGCCCTCAAGCTCACCACAGCTTGAAATGAGCCCGGCCCACAAAAAAGCCCATGACGTGTGACGCCCCCCCCCCCCCACCCGCCTACCTCGCCGCCGCCGCCGGCCTGCTCGCCTCGCCGGTCATCTCGTCTCGGCTTCGTCTGACGCTTTCGCTGCTCTATCCAATTTCCTCTTCGCTTCCCCTCCCTCTCTCCGAGCTCGCCTCCCTCCACCCCCCCCCGCCTCGCCGGAGATGCAGCAGGCGGCCGTGGCCTTCGGCCAGGCGGCCTTCCTCGCCCGCCCGCTCCGGCGCCCGCCGCACCGCCTGTACGTACGCGCGTTCGCCTCAACCCCCCATCTTCTTCTTCTTCTTCTTCTTCTTCTTCTTCTTGACCCCGTGCTGATTATGGCGTGTGGTGGTGAATTGGATCTTGCAGGGGATGGGCGGAGGCTGGTGGCGTGGCGGCCGGACGGGGGCGCGCGTCGCTCCCGCGTCCGCGGCTCTCTGCGAGCCTCTCGATCGGCGCCGGTGGCTACGGTGATGGTAAGTAAAGGGCGGAGAAAAATCTTTGGCGGCTCCTGCTGATGATTCCGTAGTTGTTGGTTTTTTGCAACTGCAAAATTGTGCTGTCCTAACGCTGATCGTCTATCTGATGGATACCTTGCCCACCCTAGAAGCTAGAGAGATGGTTAGCTTTTGCCCCCTTTGGTTAGTTTTGGGTAAATGGTGAGAAATTCCATGGTGCTTTTGCCCCTCTTGGTTGTGTTCTTCATGATTTGTTCAACGTGATTTGGTTTTGTCTAGCTACCGCGCCTTAAAGAAACAACTCAATGTGATCACAGTTCACAAATGGAGGAAGGTTGAGATGATGTGAATAGGGAAAAAAAACTGCTTGGAAGTGCCTGAATTTTGTTTCCTATCAGGGATGTATAGGACTAGGAGAACTGTTCATTTGCCTTTTCTTTTTTTTGTTCATTTTACTAGATTAAAATATGCCATAAAACAATGTCTTGTGAGATCAACACATTGAGCCTGGATGGATTGCCATGAATCAGCAATATCCAAGCCCATTTTGCCTAAACTTTTCCTTGATAAAAATCCTAATCTGGTATCACCCAACCGATTACCGTTTTTTTTTAAGGATCATTGCAGCTATTTTTTCTGTCTTTGTTATTCTTCTGAGTTCTGACATTGACCCAGGTGGTTTTTAAGTAATAAACAAAGTCTGCTCTTCACTTTCCGGGCTTGAAATTAATTTCTTTTGGTTAGTTTAAATCTCTGGAGAACTTGATTGAATTTTTTTTGAGCTTTTAGAAGGCCACGGTGGAAATTAGAATCTAGATGCTGTTCCATCTCCAAATGTTCAAACCCTCATAAAGACCAGAGCAGAGCTTATAGAGTTTAGACAGTTTCTCACTTTATGCATATGAAGAGTGACTCCCTTAAAAAGCGGCTTCCAACTAGATTAAGATGTTTGCTGACTGAGTTATTCACAAATCTTTCTGTTTCTTTGTGTTCAAATGTGCTTGTGAGCAATATAAATGCTTCCAGGTAGATGGTATGATGGAAGTTCTACTGTGCACTATGTATCACTGGAAGAATTCAATGAATTCACATGCCAGTCGAATTGGCTGAATGCATACAAATTGGTTATACGAGGGTTTCCTCTGCATTATATTGGTATATAATAATCATGGTCAACCGTATTGTATTGTCACGAGCGCAACATATCAGCCAGCAAGGCAGCAACATATCCTTGCATTTTCCTCCTCAGCTCTTATGCTAGTTATGTGTTATTTTGTTTCTTTAGATTATAGGATATTCTGTCTTCAATATTACATTACTGTGTTGATGTCCTGGTTGTTATTTCATTGTAAGCAATTGTAGCTGCAATTGAGCCAATTTTTTTTTAATCTATCTGCAGAGCATGCTCCGTTGTTCCCAAGACAGCAAGCATGGGACCCCTACAAGATTCTTGGTGTTGATCATGATGCATCCGAAGAAGAGATCAGGAGTGCAAGGAATTTTCTTCTTAAGCAATATGCTGGGCATGAAGAGACCGAAGAGGCTATTGAAGGTGCTTATGAAAAAATAATAATGAAAAGCTACTCACACCGTAAGAAATCCAAAATTAATCTGAAAAGCAAAATACAAAAGCAAGTCGAGGAATCCCCATCATGGTTTAAGGCAATGCTTGGGTTCTTTGAGGTGCCATCAGCGGAGATTATTTCAAGAAGACTTGCTCTTTTTGCTTTTATTGCTGGGTGGAGCATTGTAACGTCCGCTGAGACTGGGCCTACTTTCCAGGTATTTTTGAATTACTTGCTTTTAGAACAACCCAGTCTCAAATATTGAACTTGATAGAGCTCAGACTGTCCGTTTGCACTAAGGTTCATAAGTTTTGATTCCCATGGAAGGGATGGGTTTAGATGATTTTCTGGAGGCTAGCTCCAACATGCTGGTCCACAATTTTTTTCCCAAAAAAATAGGGCCTCACAGAGTCACAGTGACCTGAATAAGTTTTTCATTTGATTAAGAGTTGGAATCATCAAACATAGTTCACGTCTAGGATAAAACCTATTACAGTGATGATAAATTTCCAGTTATTGACAGCTTGCTTTTGCAGCTTGCACTATCACTCGTCTCATGCATATATTTCCTCAATGAAAAGATGAAAAATCTTTCCAGGGCGTCTATGACAGGGTTAGTAAGCATTTTCCATATAAAAAAATGTTAGTAATTTTCAGTCATGCACAGGATGTTTACTCCTTTGTTCTTCCAGGTTTGGAGTTTTTGTGGGTGGCTGGATTGTGGGATCTTTGCTTGTCCCAGTGATTCCAACATTTGCCATCCCACCTACTTGGTCCATCGAGCTCCTTTCTTCTCTTGTGGCTTATGTTTTCTTGTTCTTGGGTTGTACTTTCCTCAAGTGAAATTTCTGTTAAGAACCTGGCAACAGGGCGGCGCTATTGCTTTTTTTTTTTGGTTCCCAATCAAATCGATGCTTTTTTTCCACTCCGTAGTGAATTCATAGCTACCTTTATTCCCTTCTTTTAGGTTTGTAAGATGTATCCCTTGTTGAGAAAACAAACAGGGATATCTGTGGCGAAAAAGCGAAAACCTATGAAAATCGGAACTAAAAGTTTTCTAAATTATTGAAAAAATTACTAGAAATATGTGTAAGCATGGACTACATTCCCTTCAAATCTCTTTGTCTAAACTCAACTTTATTTGGAAGGAAAAGAAGACAAAATTTTGGTGAATAGTAGGAAGCTGGGTTTGAACTTGAGATTTGGTGGAAATGTAGTTCACACCTATACTTATCTCTAGTAAATTTTCCATGAATTTAGAAAAAAAATTCAGTTTCGGTTTTCATTTATTCAATGGTTTTCATTGGATATTCCTCCAAAAATGTAAACTAGAAACCACTATCCTGGTGGAAGCCTTGGAGTAGTTTACAATTTTTTTTATCTCATATACAAAAGGTGATATCGGATAACCATAGAAATTTTGAATATCAAACTTTTGTTTGTGATAATATTCTTTTACGTTTTGCAATTCATATGTAGGACCACGACAGTACATGGTCCGATTTTCGGTGATTGATGGCGAAATCAATCAACATCGACACTGTATTCGGTGATGGCAATATGGTTTATGTTGACGGACGAATCGATTGTTAGGAAACGATAGTCAAACAAACGATAAATAACAATAGATCAATCACAAAAGACGAGAGATTTTAACGTAGAAAACCCTTCTAAAATAGGAGAGAAAAAACTATGGGCGCCAGCAAAATATCTTCACTATATATAGGGTGAGGTTACGTCGCCGCACGGCGGCTTACAAAAGGTATATATATGGTGGAACCCTAAAAGGGATGACGATCCGTTTCCACCGCACCCCGGGCGTCCGCTCCACTACGGTAGAAGCCGGTCTTTATTAAGTGCAAATGAATTTGGATCATAACTCAACATCGACCTACGGTAGAAGCTGGTCTTTATTAAGTGCAAATGAATTTGGATCACAACTCAACATCGATGAGGAAAATGACGTTTTTGGGTGGTTGATGATGAAATCAATCAATGGCGGTAATATAGGGTCCGATTTTGGCATGGTTTATCCCGTGAGGGATGAGACATCAGGGGAAGAAGACAATGTTTCTTTTTCTGTTGTGGACTCCACGAAACGATATTAAACTCTCAACCGATTTTGTAGGATCCCATCTCTCATCATCATGTTCCACACCATAAGTTAATTAGGTTTTTTTTTGTTTATTACAGTAAAGTCTATTTATTGTCTTTATATTTTGCGCAATGTCCATTTTTCATATTGAACTGCAGAGCAATTATTTTTCACCCAAAACATTTAAAACCATAGCAAAGTACAACATTCTGAAGAAAACATTAGCTAGAATTGTGAAAAACATGAAAAAAACCCTACTCGTATTAACTGCCTCACCGTCACATCAATGCCATGGCAAAGACCAAATCAATATTGTCACGTAAGCGTCGCCGGACTTGGCTGGCCTGGCAGATAGGAAGGCTTTGGAGGGGTTGGGTTGGGCTGGGTTGGAAAATGAAATGGCCCAAAGGAAATAGAGCACGCTGGGGTTAGATGAAGTTATTTTTCACAAGAAAAAGGATTAGATGGCTCCATCTCAGCCATAGAAAACAGTAGATGGCGGAGCTTTCGCAATCTACCTGGTGGAGCCATGGCAAACTCCTGGCGATCCGGACCCACTGAATAGGGTATGATGACTACAAGGCAAGTCGGAAATAGAAGTAGCAAGTATGCGACTTCTCCTGCATCTTGCTCTTGAGATGTCAACCTAAAGTCATCATAACAATTGGGTACTGTTCATTATTAGCCGTTGGAAGTTCACTTTCAGACTATGCCATATCATATAGTAATATAAAACGTACGACCATTGAAGGTCGGAAGGCATATAGAAATGGACGTGACTGAACCGCGTGCGTGCACCAACCCGTCATAACTGAAAAAGGGGCATGTAACATAGTGGTTGCAGTGTCCTGCATAGCATCTTAAAGTTCTGAGTTTAAATATTCATAGGAGTGAATTTCACATTGGGTTGTTTGCGGGGCTAAGTTTCCAATTTAAATGGCTGCATATATATATCGGGTTGGATATAGAAGCCAGGTAAAAAAAAATCATTCTCTTAAAAAAACTCGTCCTAATTGACGACCCATCCAACTTATCAAAAATAGCATCTCATACACGTTCCGTCCGCATCTTCCGTTATATGTAATTATTGCTAGTGGACGACGATGCGGTATGATTGCATGTTGAGCTTTAGATTTAGCGGGCTATAGCTTTACAGAATGTATAGATATATAATATGTTGTATAAATTAAAGCATATAATATTGATTTTGATAAATTAATTTGGTTTCTATGTAAATTGAACATATTTATTCACACTCACCTTATTTAAAATAATACTCCTTCCATCCCATAATACAGCGACCTAGAACTGGATGGGACATTTCATAGTACAACAAATTTGGACAGGAGTGTATCCAGATTCGTTGTAATATAAAATGTCCCATCCAGTTATAGGTTGCTATATTATGGGACGGAGGGAGTATTTGATAGGATCGTACTATCGAGATACTATCTAAGATTTAATCGTGTTCAGATTCATTGTAATATGAAATGTCCCATCCAGTTTTAGGTTGCTATATTATAGGACGGAGGGAGTATTTGATAGGATCATACTATCGAGATATTACCCAAGATTGATGAACCCTGAGTTCCTCTCGACACTCAAGGCTGTTGTTGGCCCGATCTTTCGGTGAGTTGTGATAACTACGATTTGGGAGAAACGTTGACGATCCGACTACAACCGTACGAGACGTTGTGTTGCGCCTTAGCGATCGATACACCTCTCCATGGGTTGTTGATCTTGCCGGTGCAGATCAACCCTATTCTTGCAAGCAAATCGAAGAAACAAGCAAGAACAAGATAAAAAGCAATCTGATATTGCAAATAGGAATTTAATACAAATGATAAGTTGGGGTTCCGAAGAACAAGCAGACGGACGGTCTAGCCGACACGCGCGCTGCAAGCAAGTAGCAATGGCTAAACTTTAATCTAACAAAACCCCCCAGAAACCCTGAAGGGGTAACTAGCTATATATAGGGGTGGGAGGACGACCTAGGGGTGCCTAGGGTCGTGCTCCACCAGCTTGGGGCGCACCCCACATGGGCCCCACCTGAGCCGGGGTCCCAAATGAAGTTACAAGCCCATAGGCCCATTACAGGTGTCGCAGCACCTTGTTTCTTCAGTTGCTGCCGACTGAGATGGAATTTGGCAATGAGGTTTGATGCATTGGAAAGAGGACTCCGAGAGCTTTCCATCAAGTACTCACGGGCCGAAAACGGAGGTCGTATGGAGCTTCGGCGGCCGTTTGAAGTCAGCAGTGTAGCAGGTGGCCGAATTGGATTTTGGCACTTGGAGGACTCGAACTTGATATCTTGTTGTTCATCCATGATGTGAGCAACGGATGTATCCGTAGTAGCCATGGTCACATCATCCTCCCATTCTTCACGGAAAACCGTTCTCGGTTTTTCCATATGGTGTTCTTCATATAGTCCATTCAAAATAACCTGTTTCATCCAATCAAAAATAGAGAAACTCGAAGTAGTGTGATTAGCAATAACATGTTTCTCTAAATTCGAACAAATGAAAACTCTATGCACCAAATATATTCCTCTATCATTATATTTGCCAAAGATATGAAAAATAGCATTAGTTGGACATGGCAAATCAGACTTAGCAAATAATTTCTCCTTCAAATTATCGAGCTCACAAAAATCATCAAACTGAACATAGCCTAAAGTATTTAAAGAAGATAGCAATTTACGTTCCTCAACTTCATTAGCAATGTGAACAACATGCTTAAAATCAGCACACAAAGAAACACTAGGAATAGCATGTTCATTCACTAGTTGTGGCATGGATATAAGTGAAGCATTATCACACAACTCTTCTTTATCACAAGGAACAGCGAGTAAATCAACTTGTGACAAAGGAACTCCAGCATTTGGTTCCACTAACGGTTGCTCTACTTTTGCATGAAAAGTGGACAAATTTACTTCGTTAACAATGCACTCACTTTGATTAATTTCAGTACCATTTACTTTACCTTGGATGTCCTCTTTAGATGATGGAGGTGTCTCGAACTTGAGTGTGAACAATGGAATTGGTGGCTCTTTCATGTCTCTCTCCTCCTTTTCGTGATTACGCACTTCCTGCAAATAGTTAGTAATTGGAGGCAAAGACATAGCGTGTTTCTTTTTCATATCCTCCTCTATTTTACTTTCAGCATTGCAAGCAAGTTGTAACAAATGAGAAAGAGATCTATACTTTTCACAAGCAAGCATGTCCTGAATTTCTTTGTTAAGTCCACGTAAAAACCTCAATTCTGTAGCTTCTTCACATTCATCTAAGCCACAACGTAATAAACAAGCATGCATATCATGATAGTATGAAGTAACACTTTTGGTATCTTGTTTTAAACATTGCAGTTTGTTGAGCAGAATATCAGCATAATACATGGGAACATAAACATCTCTAAAATATCGTTTCAGGTCTTTCCAAGATTGTGGTATTTTGTTATGCCTACAAAGATGTTTCCAATCATTAGAAGCATGTTTAACTAAAACACTAGAGGCACACATAACCTTTTGTTTCTCAGACAAGACATGCTTTTGAAATTCACTATCAACCGCTAGCTCCCAATTAATGTAAGCATGAGGATCATAGTTTCCCTCGAAATAAGGCAGTGCAGATTTGATCTTACCTAGAACATTGTCACTTACCTCATAAAGGTCATGTTGATCACTCCTCATGTCTCGACGAAGATGTCGATGGTGAGCACAGCTATCCCCAATTATCTTGCGTATCCCTGCCATTGTTAGTAGAAAACAAGAAACATACACAAAAATATGCGCGTTCCTATTAACTACTAGGTAGTGGCAGCTCAAAAATCACACACACTCAAGCTTTTAACCAAGCTCTTACAAGAACTTACCAATGCAAGCGGAATGGTGACATACACCGACTCAACCAAGCACCCCAATGGAGGTTGGATGTATCGATGCCTTGGCGAACACTTGTTGTACGGCTGCAATCAAATCTGTGGAGCTCTGGGTAGGCTTAAATATGTAGCAAAGGAATAGCAAATGCTCAAATCAGAGAATGCAAAGTTGAATAATTGTTCAAAGTCAAGCACCGTGCTGGTCCTAGGCTAGAACGTACTAGAGACGCGAGCCTAGACACAAACGATACCACAAGATAGCACTAGGAACAACTTATGCACAACTCTGATATATGAAGTTCAGCTCAAACATAACAATATTTTCTCTTTTCTTTCTTTCTTCTTTCTTTTTTTTTCCTTTCCTTTCCTTTTCTTTTTTTTGGGTGCGGCTTTTCTTTTCTTCTTTTTTTATGCACCTTTCTGCCTTTTTTTTTCTTTCTTTTTTTTTTGATTTTA